CACTTTGGGAGGCCAAGGTGGGTGGATCACCTGAGGTCAGGAGTTCAAGACCAGCCTGGCCAACATAGTGAAACCTCATCTCTACTAAAAATACAAAATTAGCCAGGTGTGGTGACTCACAGTTGTAATACCAGCTGCTTGGGAGGTTGAGGCAGGAGAATCACTTAAATGCGGGAGGTGGTTGCAGTGAGCCGAGATTGCACCATTGTACTTCAGCCTGGGTGACAGAGCGAGACTCTTCCTTGGTGCATCTCAGGTCAACTGAATCAGAATATTTGGAGTGGGGCTTGGGTGCTGGGATAGGTGACTGCCACACAGGCTGATGTTTGAGGACCTCCGAGCTAGAGTACGTGCCTTTGGAATTCAAAGGACTGAAATGGACTAAGGGTAGTGGCGGTCATTTAACAGACACCAAAGGTACCATTCTCCTCACTGGGCTCAGGTTTCCTTTCTTTTTTTCCCCTTTTTTGGATGGGGACTCACTACATTACCCAGGCTGGTCTTGGAACTCCTGGGCTCAAGCAATCCTCCTGCCTCAGCCTTCTGAATGGCTGGGATTATAGGCATAAGCCATCGTGCCCAGCAAGGCTGAGGTTTCCATCCATAAAACAAAGGGCCCTGCTACAGGTAGGAATCTATTAACTTAGCTCTTCCTCTGAAAATCTTTATCCCTAGGGTACTCAGTGATCAGCAGTGAGGCCTGGAGGAATAGCTTCTATACTGAAGGGCTGCGTTATCCAAGGAAAATCAGTAAAAGCCCACTTAGGGGGAATATGTTTATGATGGGGACCAAGCTTAACAGCGTGTTGCGGAGGGATAAAAAGTTTCATCAGGGCAATCACAAAAAATAAAATGCATTGTTGAAAAAAACACAAGCTTGGAATGAAGAGACCTTCCAAACAGGCTTTGTGTGAGCAACACGGCTGTTTATTCACCTGGGTGCAGGTGGGCTAAGGCCAAAAGGGCATTAGCAAAGGGCAGTGGGATAGGAGTTGGTTTTATAGGTTTGGGTAGTTTTTTGAGGGGCAGGGGTGTTGCAGAGTAAGTTCACTTACAGTGGTGGGGGGTATGGGCAAGGGAGTATACATGACCACAAGTTCAGCTGCAATGGCAGGGTTGGGTGAGAGGTATTTACATTATCATAAGAACAGTTAAGGCCAGGCGCGGTGGCTCACGCCTGTAATCCCAGCACTTTGGGAGGCTGAGGCGGGTGGATCATGAGGTCAAGAGATTGAGACCATCCTGGTCCACATGGTGAAACCCCGTCTCTACCAAAAATACAAAAAATTAGCTGGGCGTGGTGGCGCGTGCCTGTAATCCCAGCTACTCATGAGGCTGAGGCAGGAGAATTGCCTGAACCCAGGAGGCGGAGGTTGCGGTGAGCCAAGATCGCGCCATTGCACTCCAGCGTGGGTAACAAGAGCGAAACTCTGCCTCAAAAAAAGGAACAGTTAAGATGGCAGGGTTTGGTGAAGGGCTTGTCCGGGGAAGCTCGCCGGGTGATTAGGGACATCAGCCAAGGCAAGCAGGACTTCAGACTTTCAGGCTCCAGGCTTGCATATGGAGACCTGACATGCATTTCCTCTTGGAGTTAGCAAACTCTGTATCTACAATTATGAAGTAATTCTCAAATATTTTTAAACGTCTACATCTTTTTTTCCCCCTGAGATGGAGTCTTGCTCTGTTGTCCAGGCTGGAGTACAGTGACGTGATCTCAGCTCACTGCAACCTCCACCCTGGGGAGTTCAGGCAATTCTCCTGCTTCAGCCTCCTGAGTAGCTGGAATTACAGGCCTGTGCCACCATGCCCAGCTAATTTTTGTATTTTTAGTAGAGACAGGGTTTCACCATGTTGGCCACACTGGTCTAGAACTCCTGACCTCAGGAGATCCGCCCACCTCAGCCTCCCAAAGTGCTGGAATGGCATAAGAAACCACGCCTGGCCCATCTTATTTCTTAAAATGAAGTAAGAATGAAGTACTGATGGTGGGGTAAGATAGACTTTTTGACAAAACTGTCCAAGAATACTCTATGCCATCCTTTACTTCGACTTTTGCAGGAGTACTACAAAGGAGTTAATTTTACAAACATTTTAAAGGTTGTTACCTATTTTCCCAAGACTTCTCTTAATCCTTTGAGAATCAAACCACTATATTTTGAGGCACTTTTGTCATTACCATAAAGATTCTCTTCAGGCTGGGCATCATGGCTCATGCCTATAATCCTAGCACTTTGGGAGGCCGAGGTGAATCATTTGAGCCCAGGAGTTTGAGACCAGCCTGGGCAAGGTAACGGAATTCTGCTTCTACAAAAACTTTAAAAATTAGCCAGGCATGGTAGCACACGCCTGCGGTCCCAGCTACTTGGGAGGCTGAGGCAGGAGGATCACTTGAACCCAGGAGGTTGAGGCTGCAGTGAGCTGTGTTCATGCCACCGCACTCCAGCCTAGGCAACAGAGCAAGGCCCTGTCTCAATAAAAAATATTCTCTTCAAATGTTACGTGGTCTCACTCTACCATTGTCTCACTGTCCTGTATGTCTAGGTGATTGATTCTCCAACACCACTCTTAACCAACTCCATGAAATTCTGTAAGACTTAGAATTACTCTGTGACATACAGTTAATCTTTGAACAACAGTTTGGACTGTGTGGGTCTATTATATGCAGATTTCTTTTTTTTAAATTAATTATTTAGTCTCACACTGTTGCCCAGGCAGGAGTAAAATGGCGTGATCTCGGCTCACTGCAACCTCCACCTCCCAGGTTCAAGTGAGTCTCCTGCCTCAGCCTCCCAAGTAGCTGGGATTATAGGAACCCACCCCATGCCTGCTAATTTTTTGTATTTTTAGTAGAGATGGGGTTTCACTATTTTGGCCAGGCTGGTCTCGAACTCCTGACCTCGTGATCTGCCTGCCTTGACCTCCCAAAGTGCTAGGATTACAGGCACAAGCCACCGTGCCAAGCCGTTTTATTTTTTAGAGATAGGGTCTCGAATTGTTTCTCAGACTGGAGTACAGTACAGGCACAATCAATAGCTCACTGTGACCTTTAACTCCTGGACTCAAGTGATCCTCCCACCTCAGCCTTCTGAGTAACTGGGACTACAGTTAATGCCACTGCACCTGGCTAATGTTTAAATTTTTGTAGATACAGGGCCTCACTATGTTGCTCTGGCTGGTCCTAAACTCCTGGCCTCAAGGGATCCTCCCGCCTTAGCCTCCCGAAGTACTGGGATTACAGTCACAAGCCACTGCAGAGATTTTTTTTCAATAAAAGTAACAGTGGTGCCTGCCTCCCCATCCACCTCCTCCACATTTTCTGCCTCTGCCATCCTTGAGACAGCAAAACCAGGAGTTCCTTAGGCTATTCAACCCTGAGACAGGATGAAGACCTTTATGGTGATCCACTCTCAGTTAATGAATAGAAGATACATATTTTCTTCCTTAAGGCTTTCTTATTTATTTGTTTGTTTGTTTGTTGTTGAGACAGAGTTTCGCTCTTGTTACCCAGGCTGGAGTGCAATGGCGCGATCTCGGTTCACCGCAACCTCCGCCTCCTGAATTCAGGCAATTCTCCTGCCTCAGCCTCCTGAGTAGCTGGGATTACAAGCATGTGCCACCATGCCCAGCTAATTTTCTGTATTTTTTTTAGTAGAGACGGGGTTTCATCATGTTGACCAGGATGGTCTCGATCTCTTGACCTTGTGATCCACCCGTCTCGGCCTCCCAAAGTGCTGGGATTACAGGCTTGAGCCACCGCGCCCGGCCTCTTATTTATTTTTAAGTATCTCTATAGCCCAAGCTGGAGTAAAGTAGCGTGATTTTGGCTTACTTTAAGGTCTGCCTCACAGGTTCAAGTAATTCTCCTGCCTCAGCCTCCCAAGTAGCTGGGACTACAGGCATGTACCACCATGCTTGGCTACTTTTCATATTTTTAGTAGAGCCGTGGTTTCACCATGTTTATCAGGCTGGTCTCAAACTCCTGCCCTCAAGTGATCCACTTGCCTCCCAAAGTGCTGGGTTAAAGGCGTGAGCCACTGCGCCCTGTGCCCCTTATGACTTTCCTCATAACATTTTATTTTCTCTAGTTTACTGTGTTATAAAAATACAGTGTATAAGATACAATATAAATACTGAAAGTATGTACTATGTTAGCAGTAAGTAACTACTAATAGCATACTACTGGTCAACAGCAGGCTATTAGTAGTTAAGTTTTTGGGGAGTCAAAAGTTCTACACAGATTTTCCACTGTGCATGGCAGGGGGTGTTGGTGCCCCTACCCCTGAGTTGTTCAAGGATCAACTGAATTTGTCTTCTGTCAGACATTTGTAATATTCACTGATGAGAAAGAATCTGTCCATCGGCAACCCTGACAGGACTAGTGGGAAGAACAGGTGGGGAGGGAAGAGCTTTTGCTCCTTGTGCTCTGCTGACTTTGGCTTCTCCTAACACCTTTTTTTTTTTTTTCCTTGAGACGGAGTTTCGTTTTTGTTGCCCAGGCTGGAGTGCAATGGCATGATCTTAGCTCACAGCAACCTCCACCTCCCAGGTTCAAGTGATTCTCCTGCCTCAGCCTCCCAACTAGCTGGGATTACAGGCATGCGCCACCACGCCCGGCTAATTTTGTATATTTAGTAGAGACGGGGTAGGTCAGGCTGGTCTCGAACTCCTGACCTCAGGTGATCTACCGGCCTCAGCCTCCCAAAGGGCTGGGATTATGGGCATGAGCCACTGTGCCCGGCCTCTAACACCTCTTAACAGCAGGAACCTGGGATAATAAATAATACCAAGATCATGAGGACCTCCCCTCAAAGCAGAAACAGGGTGTGCGTAGACAAGAGGCCAGCATCTGTCTGCAGAATTGGAATCTTTTTGCACTCTGCTTTTTTTGGCTGCTGAGAAAAAGTCTCTCTAAAATGCGTTTTCACACTGTGCCACAGCTCCCACCTGCCCTTCCAGACTGCAAAGCCACCCTGCAAGGAACTGCAGACAAAGGCCACTGGTCAGGTGACACTTTTTAATTGGATGGTGTCTTTGGAGAATATCAAGAGTCACATGTGGGCCACAGCAGCAAGCAAAAGCCCAGTACTCAGGGTGAGGCCTCAGGGGAAACAACGGGTTGGGTGGGAGGTCAGCGATGGCTGAAGAATCCCTGAGGATGGTTGTATTTAAATGGCTTCATCCTGCTGGGACCCCTAGAGAAACAGAAGGGAATAGTTAATACCACACCTTCCAGGCTGATAAAGTATGGTTCATTCACACATGGGGAAAAAAAAGAGGCAGAGTTACATGACACTGAATGTTGTGAGAAAAGCATACTGCAGAACAACATATAAGGTGCGACGCTATTTTTGTAAAAATGTCTTTATGTGATTGTAAATCAGTGAACACAAACTGGAAAAGGCCCTCACTGACAGTGGCACTTTAAGGACATAGCTTTGAGCACCCTCACTTTTTAGGATTGTTCCCTTTTTTTTGAGGAGTCTCACTGTGTTGTCCAAGCTGGAGTGCAGTGGCATGATCTTGGCTCACTGCAACCTCCGCCTCCCAGGTTCAAGCGATTTTCGTGCCTCAGTCTCCTGAGTAGTAGCTGGGATTACAGGCAGGCACCACCACGCCTGGGTATTTTTTGCATTTTTAGCAGAGTTTAGGTTTAGCCATGCTGGCCAGGCTGGTGGAATGCCTGGCCTCAGGTCTCTTGCTCCCCATGCCAGCACTCTGCATCCTGGCCGGAGAGCCTCACCTCTCACATCTACCAGCCATAGAGTTGGATCTGAGTGACTGAAGAAGCACCTTCCCAGAATGCTGACAGAGGACCTAAGCCTGGAGATACAACAAAGCCCTTGGATAATCGAGTCCTGGCCAGGCGTGGTAGCTCACACCTGTAATCCCAGCACTTTGGGAAGCCAAGGTGGGCAGATCACGAGGTCAAGAGATCGAGACCATCCTGGCCAACATGGTGAAACCTCACCTCTACCAAAAATACAAAAAAATTAGCTGGGCGTGGTGGCACGCACCTGCAGTCCCAGCTACTCGGGAGGCTAAGGCAGGAGAATTGCTTGAACCTGGGAGGCGGAGGTTGTAGTGAGCCGAGGTCGCGCCACTGCATTCCAGCCTGGCACCTGGTGATGGAGTGAGACTCTATTTCAAAAAAAAAAAGAAGGCCGGGCGCGGTGGCTCAAGCTTGTAATCCCAGCACTTTGGGAGGCCGAGGCGGGTGGATCACGAGGTTGAGAGATCGAGACCATCCTGGTCAACATGGTGAAACCCCGTCTCTACTAAAAATACAAAAAATTAGCTGGGCATGGTGGCACGTGCCTGTAATCCCAGCTACTCAGGAGGCTGAGGCAGGAGAATTGCCTGAACCCAGGAGGCGGAGGTTGCGGTGAGCCGAGATCGCGCCATTGCACTCCAGCCTGGGTAACAAGAGCGAAACTCCGTCTCAAAAAAAAAAAAAGAGAATTGGGTCCTATGGCAGGGAGGCGGAGGTTGCAGTGAGCTGAGATCACATTACTGCACTCTAGCCTGGGTGACAGAGTGGGACTTCGTCTCAAAAACCAAAAAAAAAAAAAAAAAAAAAAACCAGAAATAGGTCCTTTAGGAACCATTAGGAAGAGGAAATAAACACTGGCCATATGAGAATTCCCACCCTGGAAATGTGCTAGAGTGCACCGGGCAGTTGGGAAATTGCCGAGGGTCTTAGACCCTCTGAGAAGAGCAAGTGCTAGAAGGTGCCAGCATCTGACCACCAGCTCTGGCTCCCAGCAGCCACTAGGAGCTGGAACTGGTTATTATGAGACAACACAATGAACCAGGCCAGTGGAGGTGTCAGATGAGGTGGGAGGATGCTGGGACTGCTTCCAGGGCTGGAACTAGCTGTCCGAGGACAAGGTGAGGGAGAGGTAAGGCCCTGTTTAGACTGACAGGGAACACGGGGGAATGTCCTGATTGGAAACAGATTAACATCCTTCTTCCTTCCTAAACACTGCTCCTCCCCAACTTTGCGCAGAAAGGAAGGGATGCCTGAGTAGTAAAATATGCAGTTTTCAAACTGACTCTTAAAATAACATAATTTAGGGTATGCAAGGAAAATAAAGGACCCAAAACAAAAGAGAAAGAAAAAGTAGCTGGAAGTGTCATGAGCCCACATGCTCTAAGTACCAAGCTGTCAGGAACTGCTGGCATTTTCTGAGACCCAGTCCTGTGCCAGGAAGCTTTACATGAATTACTTCTGATTCATCATGAGCTAGAAGGTATTACTTCCACCACTTCAGTCTTTAGAAAATGGGGGTCAGGCGCAATGGCTCACGCCTGTAATTGAGAGCACTTTGCAAGGCTGAAGCAAGCTGATCACTTGAGCCTAGGAGTTTGAGACCAGCCTGGCTAACATAATGGAACTACATTTCTACAAAATATTTAAAAATTAGTTGGGTGTGGTGCTGTGTGCCTGTGGTCCCAGCTACTCGGGAAGCTGAGGTGGAAGGATTGTTTGAGCCCTGGAGGTCAAGACTGCAAGGCTGTAGTAGGCTATGATCATGCTGCTACACTCCAATCTGAGCAAAAGAGTGAGACCCCATCTTGAAGAAAAGAAAAGAAAAAAAGTGGGGGCTCACAGCTAAGCAGAAGTGACTCTTCCAAGGTCAGCAGCAAAACAGAGATCTGCACTCCTATCTGTCTTACTTCTAAACTGGTTCCTTCTGTGCTGCCTGATGGCCTAAAGCTGCGACTCTCACTGACAGGGCAGTATCCTAGAAAGGCCACTGCAGACTCCCTGGGGACAGGCAAGGATGCACAGTTAAAAAACTTATTTGGGGGGTAGGGCGCAGTGGCTCACGCCTGTAATCCCAGCACTTTGGGAGGCCAAGGTGGGCAGATCACGAGGTCAAGAGATCGAGACCATCCTGGCCAACATGGTGAAACCTCGTCTCTACTAAAATACAAAAAAAAATTAGCTGGGCGTGGTGGTGCACCCTGTAGTCCCAGCTACTAGGGAGGCTGAGGCAGGAGAATTGCTTGAACCCGGGAGGTGAAGGTTGCGTTGCAGTCAGCTGAGATTGCGCCACTGCACTCCAGCCTGGCACCTGGCGACAAAGCAAGACTCTGTCTCAAAAAAAAAAAAAAAAACCACAACTTATTTGGACAGTAAAAAGCAAACAAACTCTATTGTTTTCCACAGAAAGTATAGAAAATAAAGTTCAGCCAAATTGTCTTGGCTCTTACCTGGCGCTGTTTATTTAGTTGGGTGGCCCACCTTTAGGAGCTGTTTGTGTAAAACTGGTGGACCAGGGTGGGGCTGCAGGGGAAGTTTCAGGAAGGAAGAAGCAAGCTCTCCCCAGAAAATCTGGCTCTGGTATCTGACCCAAATTACCATGAGAAGTCACTAGAGTCCCCACCCCACCGTCCTCCCCTCACCTGAAGAGCCGCAGACACATCTTCTCCTGGGGAAATTCCTTGGGGCCCTCCACACTGTCGTCATGGCTCTCGGTCTCCAGGTAAACATCCAGCAGCACACACAGCCGCTGCAGCTGGTTGGTCAACAGCTGGTGGCTGGGCCAAGGGCCACACAGCTCCTTGTAGCACACATTGACTTCACTCTCCATGGCCTGCATGGTGGGAAAGCCAGCATCTCAGCACTACCTTTCTGTGTGTGGTGACCACAGTGACTGGGCTTCCAGCCCTGCATGGGCCTGAGCACTGATGCCTCTGCAGGAGCTGGGCCATCTGATCAAGCTATACTGGCTTGTCCTGAGGCCCCCTCATCAAGACAACGAGATCTTTCTGATTCTGACCCATAACTTTCCCTGTCTCGTATGCCCACAGCCAGGAAAACAGAGGTGAAGGAGTCTCAAAATAAGACCTAAGTCAGAAGATGTTGGTTAAAAATGCGTTCCTCTCTCAACACTGTTGCATTATAAGAAAAGAAACAAAACAAAACAAAACAAAAATGCGTTCCATAGCACATTTGATTTAGTAGCAGCCAAAGGCTGCCACGTAACAGCTGTGATGATTAACAGCTGCAATGATGTCATTCCTCATGTCATTCCAGTGCTTCTAAGAAATGGGTCCTTTGGGAACCATTAGAGAAGAGGAAATAAATGATTCAGAGATTATTCACATTTTTTATAGGACCCCAAGCCAATAACCTTTCATGGCAGGTATTTCTCCTTACTCTATAAATGAGGAAACCTGTGGACTCCAAGGCAGGCAAGTGGTCTTATTCACATTTTTTATAGAAGCTCAAGCCAATAACCTTTCAAGGCAGGTATCTCTCCTTACTCTATAAATGGGGAAACCTGTGGACCGCAAGGTAGGCAAGTAGGTCTAGACTCTTTCCTCTATTACATAACACAAGCTCCAGCAAATTCTGCAAATCCTGGCAGACCTCGCTGTTCTGGGAATTAAGGCAGTACCCAAGCCCTCAGCCACAGTGGGTTTTGCCATGGCCACCTCCTGAGAGCTCTGCCTGCTCCTCCCATCATCCCCAGCTGGGCCTTACCCGAATGTTGTCATCGTTGCTATTGGTTTTCTCCCCTTTCCAGTTCAAACAGAGCTGAAAAATAGGTGGGATGGAGGAGTAGCCAGGGTTCAATACCACAGCAGCCTGCAGTTTGGCTGGGAAGAGAGGAGAGAGGAGGAAAACTCAGTTCTAAGACCCAGCTTGCCAGCCATGGCAGCCTCCCCACTGGACCCCTGAGGCCAGCTCAGATGTTTCCTATTAATTTGAATGCTGCAGAGCATATTCTGGTACCAACTGTTCTAGAATGTCCTAAGTGAAATTGCCAGCTTGCAGAATGTGAGGTCCTATAATTGGTATCTCCAAGGACTTTGATATATTTACTGTGCCACAAAGCTGTGGACTCCCCAGAGTCTGGTCCAATTTGGCTTTGTCCATGAGTTCTATTTGCTACTTTGATAGAAGTTTAATTGTCATTTCTTTATTTGCCAGCAGGTTAAGGATTTCTCTATGTGAAAGCTTACTATCTAATTTTTCAACAATATTGTGTATCAACTGTTACATCAAATATATTTTCTCTATTTTCTTCATTTATTTTTTACATATTTTGTTATATAAAATTCTTTCTACTAGCCAACATGTAGAGAGTCCTTACTGTTTTCACTGTGCTAACCCTTTAGACACATTTTATTTCATCCTAATTCTGAGTTAGGTACTATTATCATCATCCTCATTTTACATAAAGAAATGGGCTATGGGCCAGGTGCAGTGGCTCATGCCTGTAATCCCAGCACTTTAGGATACTGAGGCGGGTGGATCATCTGAGGTCAGGAGTTCAAGACCAGCCTGATCAATATTGTGAAACCCCATCTCTATTAAAAATAAAAAAATAAAAAAATAAAAAGAAAGAGAAAAAGAAAGAAATGGGCTATGACAGAAGCGTCCCTACCATCAAATAGTTGGAAAGTAGCAGTGCTGAGTTTAACCAGAACTGGCTGATATCAAAGCTGTGTTCATAATCATTAAACAAAATATTTGTGTTTTTGAACATAATTCATTTTTCTCTTTTCTGGTGAAAGCCTTTGCCTTTTTCTTTTTTCTTTTTTTGAGATGAAGTCTCACTCTTGTCCCCCAGGCTGGAGTGCAATGGCTCAATCTTGGCTCACAGTAACTTCCGCCTCCTGGGTTCAAGCAATTCTCCTGCCTCAGCCTCCCGAGTGCTAGGATTACACGCGCCTGCCACCATGCCCGGCCAATTTTTGTATTTTTAGTAGAGATGGGGTTTGGTTTCACCATGTTGGCCAGGCTGGTCTCAAACTCCTGACCTCAGGTGATCCACCTGCCTTGACCTCCCGAAGTGCTGGGATTACAGGCATAAGCTACCAGACCTGGCCAAAGCCTTTGCCTTTTTCAACAGGATGACATTCAGCTTCTTTTTTTTTTTTTTTTGAGACGGAGTTTTGCTCTTGTTACCCAGGCTGGAGTGCAATGGCGTGATCTCGGCTCACCGCAACCTCTGCCTCCTGGGTTCAGGCAATTCTCCTGCCTCAGCCTCCTGAGTAGCTGGAATTATAGGCACGCACCACCATGCTGAGCTAATTTTTTTGTATTTTTAGTAGAGACGGGGTTTCACCATGTTGACCAGGATGGTCTCGATCTCTTGACCTTGTGATCCATCCACCTTGGCCTCCCAAAGTGCTGGGACATTTATCTTTTTAAGTGGTACAAGTATGCCATTCCTTTTTCGTTATTTGGGAGTGGGGGAGGCAGGTTTAACTCTCTGACCACTAGTTATTCATACAAGAGAGGAGAGGTTAACACAGTTCTTCCCTAACAGTCAGAACATTTTTATTAAAAAGTGCTTCCCCCACCCACAAAGACATGAAAAATAGAGAAGAAAGTGGGGTAGTGAGGACAGAAAGTCTAATACCAGAGTTCAACCTTTCCTTACAGTTCTGGAACTGTCTTAGAATTATAGACAACTTCCTCAGCTCAGTACCAAGTCTTGAGCGTGTCAGATCCCGTAGGCAGTGCCAGGCTTGCTGAAGCTTGGGTGGGATAACAGCAAAATGGCCCAAACATAGCATCTAAGGACTTCGGCAGGGAGCCTTGGCAGAGTCAGATGCCAGAAGAGGTTGAAAAATCAGTTTTCGATGCCTCTAAAGTGAGTACAGGGACTGCAGAAGAGGGAGGAAGGCCCTGTAACCCTGCCCTTTACAATCTGAGGGTGACACCTCAGTCCTGCTATGAAGAGGGAGGAGGAGGACATGTCTGATAATGGAGAGTGGAGAAGGAAAGGGCAAAGAGCTCAGGCTCAGCGCTCAGACTGGGCTTGCAACCAAGCCCAAATCTTCTCCCATATAAAATGGAAATGACAGTACTACCCCTAGGACTGCAGTGAATGTTCCATGAGACATAGCATGTGTGTGACTGTGTTGCAGAATAAGTCCTTGCTAAACAGGTTCTCATAATCATTATTATCTGTTAAGTCCTTGCAGCAGGACTCTAGGATCTTCTGCTTTATTTGGGCCACCCCCCGAGAGTGTTTGATTCTTGGCAGCTCCCTTTGCCTAGAACTCCTATAATCAGCAGAGCAATTACCTGTGCCCCTTTCGATGAGTGCCATGTAGTAGAGATTGGTGTCCCCAGCCAGCCCCGCATCCACAATGTCTTTGGTGAAATGCAGCTCCTAGAAGAGGTATCACAGAAAGGAAGTGAACTTCTGGCTCCTCTAATCAAATCCCCTGCCCTTCCAGTGAGGTGGCAGGAGCTGAAAGGTAACATGGTCCTGCAGTCCTCAGGACAGTAAGGGTAACTTGTCACTCCACCTACCATGTAATCCTCATGGGCAACTGTCACCCACTTCACCAGGCGAGAGACAACCTTGGCAGGGAAGAGGTACTGGCAATCACTGGTAACTGGCACAATGCCATGTTCTAAAAGAGAGTAAGACAGGTGATGTCACAGGTAGAAATCAGGTGCCACAGATGGGTAACTAGCATCCTCCTGGGGCTCTCTGAGGGGCTCAGATGGCCTGGCCAGGTATCCTGGTACATCTGGCACTCAAGAAGTATCCAGGTCAACATGTGTCAGGAATGAGGCATGTCAATCTGACCTTCACCCAGTGCTGTGTGCTTATGGCCAGATCCAGTGCCAGCATTTATGGTGCTTTCTCTTTAATGCAAATGATAGCCCGCCAAAGAAAAACCCCTGGAGCCAGAACCAGAGAGGATGCCTCCGCAGCAGTGACTGTTAATTAGATCAAATAGCGAAGGCCTATGTTTTTGTAGCTGACCTTGATGGAGGAAACAACTGAAGTGTTCTGTGTCAGCTCCTCTAAGGGAGAAGAGCCAGAGAACTGCTCCAGGGTAAATTCCTGCTGGCATTTCAATCAGCAAATATGCCAGCACGGTAAACTCTGTCCAAAATGACAAGCTTCCAACCTTGGGACAAAATAAACTCAGCAATGCTGATGGGGAGCAAGGACCGACGGACAAGCACTGGAGAGATCAGCAGTCATGTGGAGTCTAAGAACTGGTTCGGGGTGGTCTCCAGATGTGTCATAGAAACACAATGCCTTTCCTGACAGACTCTTTTATTTTTTTTTGAGATGGAGTCTTGCTCTGCTGCCCAGGCTGGAGTACAATGTTGTGATCTTGGCTCACTGCAACCTCCACCTCCCAGGTTCAAGTGATTCCCCTGCTTCAGCCTCCTGAGTAGCTGGGAATACATGTGTATGCCACCATGCCCAGCTAATTTTTTATATATATATATTTTTTGAGACTGAGTCTCACTCTGTTGCCAGGCACCAGGCTGCAGTGCAGTGGCGCTCTCGGGGCTCACTGCAACCTCTGCCTCCTGGGTTCAAGCAATTCTCCTGCCTCAGCCTCCCAAGTAGCTGGGTCTACTGGCACACACCACTACACCCAGCTAATTTTTGTATTTTTAGTAGAGACGGGGTTTCACCATGTTGGCCAGGATGGTCCTGATCTCTTGACCTCGTGATCTGCCCGCCTCGGCCTCCCAAAGTGCTGGGATTACAGGCGTGAGCCACCGCAACCGGCCTAATTTTTGTATTTTTAATAGAGACGGGGTTTCATCACGTTGGCCAGGCTGGTCTCGAACTCCTGACCTCAAGTGATCCGTCTGCCTTGGCCTCCCAAAATGCTGGGATTACAGACAAGAGCCACCACGCCTGACCCAGAGTCTTTTAGACGAGAAAAATCTTGACCCCATCCCCCTGCCACCATAAGTACCTTGAACATAGTAAGCATTTGACAAGCAGTTACTGAGTGAATAAACTAAAAGAAGCCCCCACATTCCACCACTTCAGTCAGTGGCTTATCATTATCACTTGGGAGCTTAGAAGAAAACACAGGCTCAGCCTCACTCTGGGGAACACCAAGTCAGTAGGCCTTGTGGGGGGTATGTGAGTCGCTCCCTGGCCAGCTATATTCAAATAAGCTGACTATGGGCCATGGAGGGAGGGGCAGGAGCTCACTGTGCTCGGTTCTTCCCTCAGCACTATGCTCAGTGCATGAATCAGGATCTCATTAAATACGTGTCGAATGCACATCAAAGTCTGCAATGCACTAACCTAGTATGAGCTTCCCCTGACCAATCCACAAATTTGTGCCACCCAATGGCTCTGGGCCTCCTCTGTGAGGGCCAGGACAGCATTAATAGCTCTGAGGGGAGCTTAGCCCTCTGCTTGGACAGGCCTGGAGCTCTCCTCAGTGGCCCTGCCAAGATCCTCACTCCATAAAGCCAGGAATCCCGTCTCTTTTATTTGTTGTCAGGATTCAAAAGTTTTGAGTGAAAGGCTAAGTTGTTGTTGTCTGAGTGAATGTTAAACCACCACCCCATCATCAGCTTACCTAGGGATGCAAACTGTTTGTGGAGTGCCAGGCGGGACTGCACCCTGGTCTTCAGAAGCTTCATGGTGGTCTCCATGTGGCTGGCGCTCATCGAGTGGTCAGCAATCACTGTTTGCTGTTAGTGACGATGAGACACACACTCGAGTGAGTGTTCCCCCATCCCTTTCTCTGGGCACCACCTCTCTCTGGGGACCTGCCTGCCTACAGCAGCCTGAATTATCCATGCCACAAGATGGGTAGACAGGGCAAGGGTTATCTGCTATAACAGGCCAGATGCTGAGTCCTGGCAGAAATGACACAAGGTGCTGGGTTCTGGAGAAGCTGTGTCCAACTCCTGAGGAAAGGCAGGTTCTCTAAGGGGCCAAGCCACCTGGATTTCTGCTCATGCCTCGTATTTGGCACTTGCACACAAGAACAAGGGCAACAGAGCCTGCAGCCATGAGTCCCAGAGCAAGGACTCAAGTAACCTGGGTCTAGAAGGCTACTAGGCTCAGAGAAAAGGCAAAAGGTACCTGAACTCTTGAAAGTCTCAGACATTTTAGTGTCCTGAGTGGATGGAAGGCAGGTCATAGCCCTGAGGGGACACATTCTGCCAGTTCAAAACTCCAAAGCTATGACAGACCTTTCTAGAGTCTATATAGGAAGAGATAAGGTAAACTCCTCAGCCAAGCAGATGAGATCAGTTTACACACCTGGGGCTGCTCTTTGGGGAAGTGGAGACCACCTAGCTTCTGTACCCACAAATAGGGGTGACCTAACTCGAGTACATAGTCGCTCAAAGTCAGGATGCTGCAGAAAAGAAGATAAATAAAATGATGCTGTAAGTCACTTCTGTTGTGGTCCCAGGATACAGCCTTCCTCCCTTCCTCCCATCCTCCCATGCCCCACAAACAGCCAGTCCTGCAGATTTGGCCATGTTCATAGCCAGGCTGCTGGCAAAGCCCTTCAGCTTTGTCAGTTCCCTACTGTGAATTTCACCTCTCTCACATTCACTTTCCCTTTTTTTCCTTTTCCTCTTGCAGCCTTTAACTTAGAAGCAAGTATCAAATACAAAGGCAGTGTACTTTATTGGTCTATCAATTTAGAAAATATTTTAAAAATTATTAATCCTCAGATAATTAAAATGTCAAACATTTCTATCGTATCCTATATTCTTTTATGTTTCCAGAGTGGATTTTTGTTTTTTTTTTTTTTAATCTGGGTGCAGATGGGCTAAGGCTGAAAAGGGCGTTAGCCTTTGTTTTCATTTTTGTTTTTGTTTTGAGACAGGGTCTGGCTTTGTCACCCGGATGGAGTGCAGGGCAGCCTCAACCTCCTGGGCTCATGCGGTTCTCCTATCTCAGCCTCCCCAGTAGCTGGGACTACAGGTATGTGCCACCACACCTGGCTAATTTTTGTATTTCTTGTAGAGACAGGGTTTTACCATGTTGCCCAGGCTGGTCTCGAACTCCTGAGCTCAAGCAATCCACCTGCCTTGGTCTTCCAAAGTGCTGGCATTCCAGGCATGAGCCACCACACCCAGCATATTTCTGAGTTTTGATCCTTCCACTCTTTTCCATGTTCTCCCTTCACTTGTAAGCAAGAAAGAACAAGCATTCCCATCTACCCTGTGGTCCTTGCTATCCTCTGGGTTACCTCTGGCCCTAACAGGTGTATTTAGCTGAGCCACCAGAGAAACTCAGAAGTAGAGAGACTGACAGAGGAGGAAACCGCTGACTCACCCAACTTTATCAAACTGATACTGATTGGCTGGATTCGGAGTTTTCTTTCCATGATCCCCAGGATACAAGCAACTCAGGACTGAGTCAGGAGACAGCAAGTCACTAGAAAAGGGAAAAGAGTCCGCAGTGAGAATGTAGCCAACATCTTTCTTCAACTTAGGCTTGGGCATTTGGGGATGGTAATGCCCTGCCTCACTGATGACCAATGTCATAATTTATTTAACGATCCTGTGGGCCAGACCTTTTATATGCTTGAGGCCATTGCATCCTTACAACCCTATGAGGGAGGATTATCATTTCTGTTTTACAGAGGGAAAAACTCAAGGCTTTAAAAGATAGGATTTGTTCAAGATCACACTGCTAGGAAGTACTAGAGGTGGGTTTATATTGTCTGATCAAACAGACTAGTACTCTTAATCATTATTTTTTTAAAAGCTCATCCCTTCGGCCCGGCGCGGTGGCTCAAGCCTGTAATCCCAGCACTTTGGGAGGCCGAGGCGGGTGGATCATGAGGTCAAGAGATCGAGACCATCCTGGTCAAAATGGTGAAACCCCGTCTCTACTAAAAATACAAAAAAAATTAGCTGGGCATGGTGGCGCGTGCCTGTAATCCCAGCTACTCAGGAGGCTGAGGCAGGAGAATTGCCTGAACCCAGGAGGCAGAGGTTGCGGTGAGCCGAGATCGCGCCATTGCACTCCAGCCTGGGTAGCAAGAGCGAAACTCCATCTCAAAATAAATAAATAAATAAATTAATTAATTAAAAAAATTAAATTAAATTAAAACATTAACTCTCTCTGCCCATGATGAAGATTATTAATTGACAAAGCCTAATGAAGGAATCAAACCTTCTTGGCAAAATTTATATCTGCAACATGGGGCTCAAGACAACCAAACTTGGCAAAAACGATGAATATAAAAGGAAAAGCTATCTATAGTCATAAAAATCTAACACCAGAACAAAAAAACTTCTCAACCAGTCAAACCTTTGTTATAACATTTTGATGGAAAATAAGGGATTTAAAAAGCCTTAGTAATGGCTGGGCCCAGTAACTCATTCCTGTAATCCCAGCACTTTGGAAGGCTGAGACGGGTGGATCACTTGAGGTCAGCAGTTCGAGACCAGCCTAGCCAACATGGTGAAATCCCATCTCTACTAAAAATACAAAAATTAGCTGGACGTGGTGGCGTGTGCCTGTGATCCTAGCTACTTGGGAGGCTAAAGCAGGAGAATCACTTGAACTAGGGAGGTAGAAGCTGCAATGAGTAGTTGAGACTGTCTTAACAACAACAGAAAAAAAAACCTTAGTAAAAATGAAAAATTATTAAAAACAGTTTAATCGGGCTGGGTGCGGTGGCTCACACCTGTAATCCCAGTACTTTGGGAGGCAGAGGCAGGCAGATCATGAGGTCAGGAGTTCACCCTGGCCAAAATAGTGAAACGCTGTCTCTACCAAAAAAAAAAAAAAAAAATGCAAGAAATTAGCCAGGTGTGGTGGTGGGCACCTGTAATACCAGCTACTCAGGAGGCTGAGACAGAAGAATCGCTTGAACCTAGAATGCAGAGCTTGCGGTAACCCCTTAACTGTCCAGAGCCTCAGTTAATTTACCCTGTAGAGCCACTATGAAAGTTACAAGAGTCAATGATTATAAATCAGCTGTCCTTCACCAAGAGATTCATCTACACTAAGCACTTGACCTTATTCTTCACAAGCACCATGGAAGGGGATATTACAATGAACAACCACACAGTGAAGAAACAGATTCTGAGGCCAGGTTAGCTAAGAGCTGGAGTTGAGCATGCAATAAAGCCAGGCTGCAGTCCTGTTACTAGCATGTAGGGCACCTGAGAAATGAATAAGTGGAATGCTCATGATGAGCTTTACCATGATGTGGGGGCCCCAGAGCTCCTCATTGAACTGAGAGCCCTGTATAGTATAATTGGATGTTCAGAAGCAAGCCCTGGGCTCCCTCTGCTGGGTCAGATGGGAACAGGGTCAATTTCATACAGAGCACCCCTGGGTAGTCCAGCGACACTCTAGGTACAGCAGCCAAAACTGCTGTGGCCTGAAGGGGATGTAGACTCTTTAAGTGCAAAGTCTAAAACCCAGGAGACATCATCATCATGGAGATCTGGAAGGAGTATAAAGAGCCCCACTCCACCAGGTACCAGAGCTGTAGCTCCCTGAGCCTCAGTGGTCTTTCTACAGCTGACAGTGGTCAGGGCAGTGATCCTGTGAATGGAAGCTATTTCACCCTCAGTCCCCTTGACCCTTCTTCCCACCCACGGCTGCAGAATAAGAATGCCATGAATGGGCTAGGTATGGTGACTCATGCTGGTAATCCCAGCACTTTGAGAGGCAGAGACAGGAGGATCTCTTGAGGCCAGGAGTTCAAGACCACCCTGGGCAACATAGCAAGACCCTATTTCTATAAAACAAAAATAGAAAGTGAACCAGGCACAGGGACGTGCACCTATAGTCCTAGTTACTCAGGAGGCTGAGGTGGGAGGATCACTACAGCCCAGAAGTTTCAGGCCACAGTAAGCTATGATCATGGAACGGTCCTCCAGTCTGGACAACACAGTGAGACCACGTATCAGCAAAAATAGAAATTTAAAAAAAGGGCACTGTGGTCAGGGCCTTCCTGGGGAATGCAGTGATGGCTGTCATTATTATGCCTCTGTTCCCTCTTCTCAAAACTTTCACAGGGAACCACCACAATCCTCCCACCACCCAGATAAGGACATGGGGTTGAGCTGAGCTGGGGAGCAAAAATTCCAGCACCTGGGGACAAAAAGGGAAAAGGGAAAGAGTGGCCTAAATTTGCCAACCTGAAAATGTCTGCCAAATCTCATTCTATATTCTCACACTTTCCACTGCTAACAAAAAGCTGGTGTTCTGCCCCACCTACTCAATTTGCAAATATGCAGTTGTCACTTTTGTCATCTGCTGTGTAGTAAGAGGACTTCACAAATTAAAGTCAGAGAGTGCTTTCTAAATACCAAAATGTGCCAAGTCTTCTAGTCCATCTGGATACAAGACAAGTCAACACAGTCGTGGACCTCTCTAGAGCCAGAGGGAGGAAGCGAGAGCAGCCCCGCAACAAGGCTCTCATCACCTCCCCATCCCACACTTCACTCGCCACAGCGCCTGCCCAATACCCTGCACTGATGGGGGTGATCAGCTCCGTGGCAGTTGTCACTTTGGCTTTTACTGTCATGATGTTGAGGTTCATGAGGTAGAAGAAAGTCAGGTGAAGCACACTGTCATCTGGAGGAGAGGAAGACGAGAGAATTTATGAGTGAAACACTCAGAGCAGAGTCAACAGAATCATAGAATCACAGCGGGTAACAAGGGAAGGGGGGTCAAGCATTGAAAAACTAACTACTGGGTATTACGCCCACTCCCTAGGTGACTGATCATTTAGACCCCAAACCTCAGCACCATGCAATACAGTGTAACAAACCGGCACATGTACCCCCAGAGTCGAAAATAACAAAGTTGAAATTATAATAAACAAAAAGAAACAGGATTATAAAAAAAATTCAAAGAGGATTTTACAATCATTTACTATAAAAATAAAATCACAATGGTAATATAATGATCAAAAAGCAAAGAGAGCATCTATAAATTCTTTGCTACTCTTCCCTCCAAGAGTTAGGGCTTAATTTATCTGTCCTTGCATGTGGACTAAACTTAGTGACTCTCCTAACAAAGACAAGATGGAAAGGGAACAAAGTGATCAAGGTCAGTGTCACCAGAAATAAGACAGCGGTATCATGTATTCAATATGACATGATAGCGATGACCTCATCTATGCTCTTCTCCCCCCAAATCCACAATCTCAGTCTATTCAAAGTCATGAAACGAAAGGAAAGACTGAGGACTGTCACTGCCTGGAGAGACTGAGAAGCATGGCAACTAAATGCAATGTGAGACCCTGGCTTGGATCTTGGAACAGAAAAAGGACATTAATTGAAAAAGGAAGGAACTGAAAAAATTCTGTCATTTAGTTAACATATTGGACCAATTAAATTAAGAGTGGTGTAGATCACTGCTAATCATACCATCTTTAACTAAGACATAACTTTAAGGGAGCTGAATGAAGAGTATATGGCAACTCATTACCTTGGCAAGTCTTCTATCAATCTAAAATTATCTCAAAGCCAGGCACGGTGGTGTATGCTTCCAGTCCCAGCTACTTATGAGGTTGAGGCACGATTGTTTGAGCCTCTAAGAGTTCAAGACCAGCCTAGGCAACATGACAAAACCCCATCTCTTACAAAAAATACAAAAATTAACTGGCATGATGGCACATGCCTGTAGCTCCATCTACTTGGAAGGCTGAGGTGGGAAGATTGTTTGAGCCCAGGAGGTTGAGGCTGGAGTGAGACATGATCGTGCCACTGCATTCCAGCCTGGGTGACAAGAGTGAGAACCTAGCTCTAAAAACCAGCAAAGAGACAACCAGTGTGTACAGCCTATTTCCATTTGTGTGAAAAATAAAAGTGGGAAGCGGATAAATACACATTTGTATAAAAGCTTCCAGCTGCAAAGAATCTTTCTAGAAAATATATAAGAAGTCTATAATAATGATTGCCCTTGGAGGTCAGATGTAGGACTGGTATCTAGGAACCTGGGGTGAGAGAGAAACTTAAATTTTACTGTTAGCTCTTATACTGCTAGAACTTTTTATTATGTGGTACTTCTTCATACAAACCAACTTCAAAACATATACTCTGGAGAATACAAAGTTCTACTTATGTTTATTAAATTAAACAGGTTGGTCTCATTACTCAAAACCTGTATACTTTTGCAATTTGTTCTGGATATCTGACTTGTCAGATTCAGAAAGAGGTGTGGTTTTCTCAAACTTCCCCCTTATGTGACTGGACTTTTGTTACTATGTTGTTATGGTTATGTCTTAACAACAAAAAGAAACAAATTCCATACAAAGCAATAGGAAATGGGAATCCTTTGTTGGGCCAATAGGCATCTGGCTCCCGGAACCCTCTGCACCTGCAGCTGGGTGAACTCTTAGGTGCTCCAGATCCCCTAAACAAGGTGAGTGCAGCCAGACCTTTGCATTTTAGGTCAAGCATGACGGACAGTGGGTGCCTCTTCAGCATCTCCTTGCGTTTGTCATCCAACTGAACCCCCAGCGTGGGTCTCCGGCGTTTCTGGACAAAGGGAAGTGCCAAGCTGATGAGCATACGAATCTCCCCTTCCCACTCCTTTCAGGCAGGGCCTCAGCCCTACTGCCTGGCACCTGCTGCTTCAGCTAGCTGGGTTGCCAGATTCCCCTCCCAGCAGTCCTTTCAAACCTCTTTCTTCTGCTTCTAGGGAGGATGGCACCTGCAAACAAGCATGCTCCAGTACATGCAGCTGCTCGATGCCCCCACAAGAGGAAATGGTTCTCACCGTGGTCTGCTCCTCCTCAGCATCTGAGTCACTCTCGTCATCTGCAGCCACAGAGAGAAGGCAGCTAGAGGTGAGAAGGCTCCAAATGCTCCCTAAAGCACTCCAACCCACCGGGCCCTGACTCTGTCTTTTATAAATGAATTTCTCTATAATAAATAATAAATTAACTTGCTGCTTCTTATTCAGTATAGAAAACATGATGATGAAAAAAGGAAAAAGAAGAATGACCTATAAACCATTTTTTTCAAAGGGCTTTTTGATGTGATTTAAATGGAATACAGGCCCCCTCCTTGTGATGGTGGTGGTAGTGGTGGTGATAATAGTAACATAAATAATGGTAATATATATATAATGTATAATAAATATATATTTTTATACATATATTTAAATATATAATAAATAATGGTTTTCACAGATGAATAAGCTGAGGCTCTGAAATGTTAAATACCTTCCTGGGGTCAGGCAGCTAGTGAGTGGCAGAGGTGAAACCCACAGGTTGCACCTTGTGACTCCAGGAAGTGAGCTCTCTTTCCTGCCTACCCCAGGGTGCTAAGACATTCACGTCAAGCTTCCTGCTACACAGAACCAGTCAAGCTAGTTCTCCAAAGACAAGGACTGCCCTTGGATGGTGCCTTGGTGTCCCTGGAGGAGGCATCCCAACCACCACATTACCTTGGGAGTCCTCTGGAGGCTTGAACAGAGCCTTGGCTTCGTCCACACTGCCTTCAATTGCCACAGATAACGTCTTATCTGGGGGCAAGAAGAAGTTGGGTAGGAAAGCTGCTGAGGAAAGGTGCTAAGCGGCACCAGCAGTCCAGCTCTGGGCTGCATTTCTCCCACTTCTGCCCCAGCTCCTTGCTGACTAAGGGTGGAAGGGCAAAAGTCTTTGCTCCAGACGAAGAGAAACAAGGTGGGACACTGAATTCTTTTTTTGTCACTTACCAAGAACAAATAACTTAAGCACAAATTCTTAAACCAGCATCACCTGAGACTAGCAGTGAATGTCTCTCTTTTGGTGCACACCAAAGCACAGAAATTCAAACTGAGGGCCTAAAGTCGAATGGAAGTCCTCTGCCAATTGTCTTAGAGGTTCCCAACCAGAAATCCACGCCTGTCCACATCCCAGAAACAATGGCTCCCACCTAAGTGCTTATTCTCTATTCTACACCATGCCAAGCACATGGCTGTCATTGACTCACTGAGCTGGAAGGCAGTAGGACAGTAAATAGGAACTTGAATCTTGCAGTCCAGTCCCAGACCTGAGTCCCTGCCTAACGAATTCCCAAACACATGACCTGGAAATGTATGTCACTGTCTGAGCCTGAGTTTCTGTATGTATGAAATTGGGACTTGAAAAACAGTAACTGCCAGATGCGGTGGCTCACACCTGTAATCCCAGCACTTTGGGAGGCCGAGGGTGGTTGGGTTACTTGAGGTCAGGAGTTCCACACCAGCCTGGCCAACATGGTGAAACCTCATCTCTACTAAAAATACAAATAATTAGCCAGGTATGGCGGCACAAGCCTGTAATCCCAGCTACTCAGGAGACTGAGACAGAAGAATCACCTGAATCCAGGAGGTGCAGGTTACAATGAGCTGAGATCGCGCCACTGCAATGTAGCCTGGGCAACAGAGTGATACTCCGTCTCAAAAAAAAAAAAAGAAAAATGGCTGGGCGTGGTGCCACACACCTGTAATCCCAGCACTTTGGGAGGCCGAGGCGGACGGATCACAAGGTCAGGAGTTTGAGACCAGCCTGGCAAATATGGTGAAACCCGTTTCTACTAAAAATACAAAAAATTAGCTGGGTGTGGTGGCATGCACCTGTAGTCCCAGCTGCTCGGGAGGCTGAGGCAGGAGAATTGCTTGAACGTGGGAGGTAGAGGTTGCAATGGCCTGAGATCGTGCCATTGCACTCCAGCCTGGGCAACAAGAGTGATACTCCACCTCAAAAAAAGAAAAGAAAAAAAAGAAAGAAAAATAGGGCCAGGCGCGGTGGCTCAAGCCTGTAATCCCAGCACTTTGGGAGGCCGAGGCAGGTGGATCACGAGGTCAAGAGATCGAGACCAACGTGATCAACATGGTGAAACCCCGTCTCTACTAAAAATACAAAAAATTAGCTGGGCATGGTGGCGCGTGCCTGTAATCCCAGCTACTCAGGAGGCTGAGGCAGGAGAATTGCCTGAACCCAGGAGGTGGAGGTTGCAGTGAGCCGAGATCGCGCCATTGCACTCCAGCCTGGGTAAGGAGAGTGAAACTGTCTCAAAAAAAAAAAAAAAGAAAAATAGTAGCTTCCCTATTAGTGGTTCGGACTGAATGAGCTGATGCTTATAATTTTAATTATTAAATTATTAAAAATTAATATTTAGGCCAGGCATGGTGGCTCACACCTGTTATCCCAGCACTTTGAGACCACCCTGGGCAACATGGTGATACTCCATCTCTACTAAATATACAAAAATTAGCCTGGCATGGTGGTGGGCGCCTGTAATCCCAGCTATACGGGAGGCTGAGGCAGGGAGAACTGCTTGAATCCAGGAGGCAGAGGTTGCAGTGAGCTGAGATTGTGCTACTGCACTCCAGCCTGGGTGACAGAGCAAGACTCTATCTCAGGAAAACAAACACACACACACACATACAAATACACACACACGTGTGTGTGTATTTCTAAAGCTTATGATATGAAAACTCATATTCACATCCCCCTCAATATAATATCTTTTTTTTTTTTTTTTTTTTTTTTTTTTTTTTTTTGAGACGGAGTTTCGCTCTTGTTACCCAGGCTGGAGTGAAATGCCGCGATCTCGGCTCACCACAACCTCCGCCTACTGGGCTCAGGCAATTCTCCTGCCTCAGCCTCCTGAGTAGCTGGGATTACAGGTACGCGCCACCACGCCCAGCTAATTTTTTGTATTTTTAGTAGAGATGGGGTTTCACTATGTTGACCAGGATGGTCTCGATCGCTTGACCTCGTGATCCACCCACCTCGGCCTCCCAAAGTGCTGGGATTACAGGCTTGAGCCACCACGCCCGGCAATATCTTTTTTTTTTTTTTTAGACAGTATCTTGCTCTGTAGCCCAGGCTGGAGTGTAGTGGCATGACTTCAGCTCACTGGAACCACTGCCTCCTGGGTTCAAGCAATTATCCCTGCCTCAGCCTCCTGAGTAGCTGGGATGACAGGCACCCACCACCATGCCAGGATAATTTTTAAAAAATAGTTTTAGGCCGGGCGCGGTGGCTCAAGCCTGTAATCCCAGCACTTTGGGAGGCCGAGGTGGGTGGATCACGAGGTCGAGAGATCGAGACCATCCTGGTCAACATGGTGAAACCCCGTCTCTACTAAAAGTGCAAAAAAAAATTAGCTGGGCATGGTGGCACATGCCTGTAATCCCAGCTACTCAGGAGGCTGAGGCAGGAGAATTGCCTGAGCCCAGGAGGCGGAGGTTGCGGTGAGCCGAGATCGCGCCATTGCACTCCAGCCTGGGTAACAAGGGCGAAACTCTGTCTCAAAAAAAAAAAAAAATAGTTTTAGTAGAGACAGGGTTTCGCCATGTTGGCCAGGCTGGTCTCAAATGCCTGACTTCATGATAAACCTGCCTCAGCCTCCCAAAGTGGTGGGATTACAGGCGTCAGCCACCTCGCCTGGCCAAAAATAAGATTTTTTTTTCTTGAGACAGAATCTTGCTCTGTCGCCCAGGCTGGAGTACAGTGGCGCAATCTCAGCTCACTGCAACTTCTGCCTTCCAGGTTCAAGCCATTCTCCTGCCTCAGCCTCCTGTGTAGCTGGGACTACAGATGCATGCCACCACACCCAGCTAATTTTTTGCATTTTTTTTTTTTTTTGAGACGGAGTTTCGCTCTTGTTACCCAGGCTGGAGTGCAATGGCGCAATCTCGGCTCACCGCAACCTCCGCCTCCTGGGTTCAGGCAATTCTCCTGCCTCAGCCTCCTGAGTAGCTGGGATTACAGGCACGTGCCACCATGCCCAGCTAATTTTTTGTATTTTTAGTAGAAACGGGGTTTCACCATGTTGACCAGGATGGTCTCGATCTCTCGACCTCGTGATCCACCCGCCTCGGCCTCCCAAAGTGCTGGAATTACAGGCTTGGGCCACCGCACCCGGCCATTTTTTGCATTTTTAATACAGGCAGCCAGGATGGTCTCAATCTCCTAACCTCGTGATCGGCCCAACTTGGCCTCCCAAAGTGCTGGGATTACAGGCATGAGCCACTGTGCTCGGCTAAAAAAAAAAAAAAAAAAAAAAAAATTAATCCTCACAACCACCCTACAGCAGTAGTACCATTATTACAGCCATTTACAGATGAGAAACTTAAGGCTCAGAGAAACTGGATACCACAGCCACAAGGCTGATAACCAGGATTCAAGACCAGGTCTGTTCTACTTAAGCTTGGCCTCTCCAGCACATGAGCAAAGAGCTTGATGCATACACCATATTTGACACATCACTGAGTGATGTCTTGGGCCCTCCTTTCTGGAACTCTGAGGGTCTAATGCTGTGAGGTCAGACAGGCCACCACCCTCCAACTTCACTGTTAAGGATACAGATGGTCCCAAGATCCTGAAATGGTTTGCCTAGCCACACTAAGGAGGGATGGCAAATTTCCCCCAAGTGGCTGACTACTACTGCCTTATCTATGGCAACCCTGTGTGAATCACCACCCTTCACCCCGAACAACTAGTCGTCCTCATCAACCACTGGCAAATACCAGACTACTTTTTTCAGCCATTTAATATTAGCATTCTATAGGAACATCGGAATGGAACAAGCCAATTTTAAACATAAAAGAAAAGAAAATTACTCACCCTGTCTAGGGGGCTGGGAGGAGGATTTCATATGAGCTGATGATGGAAACAGGAGGGAGAACAAAGGGGAGGGGAGGACCAGAAGGACGAGGAAGACACAAGAAGAGAGACAGTAATGTGTTGGTGCCCAAGGTGGGGGGAGAAGCAAGCACTGGTGCAGTATATGTCTGTCTGATGCAGTGGGGTGGGGTGGGGGAGAATATTTGGATGCTGGATGAAAGCTGCATTAGGAAAAAGGCAGCATCTCCAAAATTTTCTCAAAACTCTAGCAGAGTCACAAGCTGCCCTCAAGCTTAATGAGGACATATCATCTAACTTGGCAATTTAGCATGAAGACATGTAGCCTGATTAAAGGCATGATGAAAGCCTAGAAGAGCTGGCTGAGACCTGTATTCATCAGGCACCCCCACCCTGCAACAGAGCAAGAGGCACTGATCTACCTGCCAAGCGTGCCTTGATGGGGTGAGCACCTGAGAGCCCAGACAGGCTGCCTGGGCTCTGTACCCCACAGCCATCCAGCCAGGCTCATGAATGACTCAAAGCTACCCATTCTGAAATGCCCATCAGGTTAATCTAGCCTTAGGCTAGCTGGTCAGAGCAGCCATGCTGGGCAGTGCAAAGGGAAGAAAGCGTCTGTCACCTGAGGGCTTCTGGGCAAGATTGAGAAATTTCCTGAGCAGGTACTGCTTCCAACTGATTCACTCAGCCACAGCTGCTGCTCCCACAGCCCCTCGTCCTCACCCAGTCCCCATACTCACCACAGGCCTGCCCATATGCAGTGGCCTGAACAAAGAGGACATATAGGGGAGGTGGCAGGTGCCTGGCTGTCTCATACTGCTTGTGAGCCTGGTCGAATGGCATAAATAGGTACTCTTGCACCGGAAGGGAAGCCTGCACACAACAAGAGATGGATTTTTGTTCTTCCTTTTTCAGCCAATCTACACAGGAACAAGTGGTTACTTAGTGGCTGTAAATCATTATTTGTAAAAGTGATACATGATAAATTAATAGAACTCATAGGTAGATAAAAGCTCAACATTGGCCGGGCACAGTGGCTCACACCTGTAATACAAGCACTTTGGAGGCTAAGGTGGGCAGATCACCTGAGGTCGGAGTTCAAGACCAGCCTGACCAACATGGTGAAACCCCGTTTTTTTTTTAAAAAAAACAAACAAACAAAAAAAAACGCTCAACATAAAAAAATTATATTTCTTGCCGGGCGCGGTGGCTCAAGCCTGTGATTCCAGCACTTTGGGAGGCCAAGGCGGGTGGATCACAAGGTCAAGAGATTGAGACCATCCTGGTCAACATGGTGAAACCTCGTCTCTGCTAAAAAAAATACAAAAAATTAGCTGGGCGTGGTGGTGCGTGCCTGTAATCCTAGCTACTCAGGAGGCTGAGGCAGAAGAATTGCTTGAACCCAGGAGGTGGAGGTTGTGGTGAGCTGAGATCGTGCCATTGCACTCCAGCCTGGGTAACAAGAGCGAAACTCCGTCTCAAAAAAAAAAAAAAAAAAAAAAAATTGTATTTCTTTATCCTAGCAACAAACAAAAAGAAAATAAAACTATTTTATTTTACTTACTGCCAGGGTACCCCTGGCTCATGCCTGTAGTCCCAGAACTTTGGAAGGCTGAGGCAGGAGGATCACTTGAGGCCAGGAGTTCAAGAGCAGCCTGGGTAACTCAGCGAGATCCCATTTCCATAAAAAATAAAAATGAATTAAAAATAAGAAATTATAAAAAGATGCAATTCAATACTATCAAGAAAACATCAAATAAGAATAAACAGTCCAGGTACGGTGGCTCACACCTGTAATCCCAACACTTTGAGAAGCTGAGGCAGGTGGATCACCTGAGGTCAGGAGTTCAAGACCAGCTTGACAAACATGGTGAAATCCCATCCCTACTAAAATACAAAAATGAGCTGGGTGTGGTGGTGCGCACCTGTAATCCCAGCTACTTGGGAGGCTGAGGCAGGAGAATTGCTTGAACCTGAGAGATGGAGGTTGCAGTGATCCAAGATTATGCCACTACACTCCAGCCTGGGCAACAGAGCAAGACTCTGTTTCAAAAAAAATTAAACAATAAAATAAATAAATGAAAGGTATCCTCTACACAAAAACCTGAGAAAAGTCAATTCCAAAATAAGTGGAGACATATGAATGTCAATGGCCTGGGAGACTCCAATATTGTCCAGATAACAACTTACTCCAGGGGCATCCAGACATCCACAGGAAGCAAGTGTAAATGCCAGGAGATTGTATGGCTGGTGGGAGTCATGCAGGGGGTAAACTGAACTTAGATAGTCTGAGAAAGTATGGTACCCAGAGGAGGCTCTGGATGAGAACACCCAGGTCAATGTATGTAATATATTCCTGAGCCCATATGGCCAGCACTTCCTCCTCCCAGACACAAGCATATCATACCAACTCGTTAGGGATGCAGACAAGGCCATCCTTATACCATACTCTTAATTTATGGTAATAGAACTGGCAATGCCCAAAGGGTGACATGGCTTCTGGCAGCCTCTGGTCAGTGACCGCAAAGCAAAAGGCCAATGGGCCCCACCTGCATGATGCTGTTGAGGCGAGGCTGGAGGCTGCTCAGGTATTCCTTCTTCACCTCAATTTCCTTGAGGATCTTCTCCTTGTTGGATAGGCATTCACGGTACTTCTCTGCCAGCCTGTTGAGGGAGGACAGAGCATTGTTACCCAATGTCCCCCAGGGATACCTCAACATGCCTATTCACTGTGAGACTGCACCTAATGGTGGCAGCCATGATTAACTGCCAATGTTTATCCAGCACTCAATGTGTGCCAGGTAATTTTGTGAGCTCTTTACAAGCATAATTACATTTAATCCTTATAAAAATCCTGGAAGATGGGAACTTTTCTTATCCCCAAAGAAGGAAACCAAGGCTCAGGCAAGAAGTAACTGGCCCAAGGGTATCCAGCTAAGAACAAACACTGCGTTGGGCTTTGAATCAATGTCTTTCACTCTCCAGAGGCTCTGTCTTCTCTATAATCACTAGGGAATACCCATGCCATCTTCTGCTCCATTTCTTGCTTGAGACGTTAGACTTAGCAGCTAGATAAGCCAAATGAGGCCCATGGACTGGCCTGGTTGGAACAGGGTGGGAATAGATTCTGGGCCAGTGTCACAAAAATGCAGCACTCACAGCTGAGTCTGTGCCTAGCACAATCAGTGGACTAGACAGCAGAGTGATAGGCCGACCCCATCTGCTAAGGCACTGACACAAATTTCATAAGAACCAGAGTCGGCCAGGCCTGGTGGCTCACACCTGTAATCCCAACACTTTGGGAGGCCCAGGCAGGCAGATCACTTGAGGTCAAGAGTTCAAGATGAGCCTGGCCAACATGGTGAAATCCCATCTCTCCTAAAAATAATACAAAAATTAGCCAGGTACAGCAGCACACGTCTATAATCCCAGTTACTCAGGAGACTGAGGCAGGAGAATCATTTGAACCCAGGAGGTGGAGGTTGTGGTAAGTTGAGATAGCGTCACTGCCCTCCAGCCTGGGTGACAGAGTGAGACTCCCATCTCAAAAACAAAAACAACAACAACAAAAAACAGACTCAGTGGTTATTAAATTCATAATATGAACCAAACGCAGAGAATGCATTCCATAAAAAAAAAAAGGCATCTACTTTACCATCAAAAAACAGAACAGCCGGGTGCGGTGGCTCAAGCCTGTAATCCCAGCACTTTGGGAGGCCAAGGCGGGTGGATCACGAGGTCAAGAGATCGAGACCATCCTGGTCAACATGGTGAAACCCCGTCTTTACTAAAAATACAAAAAATTAGCTGGGCATGGTGGTGCATGCCTGTAATCGCAGCTACTCAGGAGGCTGAGGCAGGAGAATTGCCTGAACCCAGGAGGCAGAGGTTGCGGTGAGCCGAGATCGTGCCATTGCACTCCAGCCTGGGTAACAAGAGTGAAACTCTGTCTCAAAAAAAAAAAAAAAAAAAAAAAAACAAAAACCACAGAACAGATATGCCAATCAAAAGCCCTACTATTCCTGTACAAATTTGAAAGGGGAAAAAGTTACCATGAATGGAAAGAATGCAACCATGAAAAGTTCATTATGAAAAAAAAACCACTATATTTTTAGAATGACTTAGTACTAGCCGGGCGTGGTGGCTCACACCTATAATCCCAGCACTTTGGGAGGCAAGGAGGGTGAATCACCTGAGATCCAGAGTTTGAGACTAGTCTGGCCAACATGGTGGAATCCCCATCTCTATTAAAAATACAAAAAAAAATTAGCTTTGCGCAGTGGCAGTATCGTAGCTGATGAGGTTTATCCGAGGCGCGATTATTGCTAATTGAAAAATACAAAAATTGGCCGGGCGCGGTGGCTCAAGCCTGTAATCCCAGCACTTTGGGAGGCCGAGGCGGGTGGATCATGAGCTCAAGAGATCGAGACCATCCTGGTCAACATGGTGAAACCCTGTCTCTACTAAAAATAAAAAAAATCAGCTGGGCATGGTGGTGCGCACCTGTAATCCCAGCTACTCAGGAGGCTGAGGCAGGAGAATTGCCTGAACCCAGGAGGTGGAGGTTGCGGTGAGCCGAGATCGCGCCATTGCACTCCAGCCTGGGTAACAAGAGAGAAACTCCGTCTCAAAAAAAAAAAAAAATTGGCCGGGTGCAGTGGCTCATGCCTGTAATTCCAGCACTTTGAGAGGCCGAAGCAGGTGGATCACGAGGTCAAGAGACAGAGATCATCCTGGCCAACATGGTGAAACCCCATCTCTACTAAAAATACAAAAATTAGCTGGGTGTGGTGGCACATGCCTATAGCCCCAGCTACTCAGGAAGCTGAGGCAGGAGAATCACTGGAACCCAGGAGGCAGAGGTTGCAGTAAGCCGAGATCACGCCATTGAATTCCAGCCTGGGCCATAAGAGTAAAACTCCATCTCAAATAAATAAATAAAACTCTTTATTAGTATAGAAAAGTTTATACCTAAAGTGTGACTTGAAGCATTATTTATGACAGCAAAAAATGGAAAAAACCTAAAAGTCCAATAAAGAAATAATTTTATAAATTTTTCTATAAACTAGAATATACACTAGACTGTTACACAACCTCCTGAAATAATGTTTACAAAGCTTTTGCCACAGGTATACACTTACAGGTAAGGGAATAGGCAAAATACAAAATTAGATTTATGGTACAAAAGATAAGGTCTTAGGCATTAAAATTTCAAAGGGAGACCAGGCATGGTAACTCATACCTATAATCCCAGCACTTGGGGAGGCCAAGGTGGGAAAATCACTTGAAGCAAGGAGTTCAAGACCAGCCTGGGTAACAGAGCGAGAACCTAGCTCTACAAAAATAAAAATATTAGCCAGGCACGATGGTAGGCACTTATATTCCTGGCTACTTGGGAGGGTGAGGCAGGAGCATTGCTTGAGCCCAAGAGGTCAAGGCTACAGTGAGTCGTGATCATGCTACAGCACTCCAACCTGAGCAACAGAGTGAAATGCCATCTCTTAAAAAAAAAAAAAAAAAAAGGGCCAGGCACAGTAGCTCATACTTGACACCCAGCATTTTAGGAGGCTAAAGTGGGCAGATCACTTGAGGTCAGGAGTTTGAGATCACCCTAGCCAACGTGTAGCCAAACCTGTTTCTACAAAAAAGACAAAAATTAGCTGGGCGTGGTGGTACACACCTACCACACAGCTACTCGGGAGGTTGGGGACTGACAATCACTTGAACCTGGGAGGCAGAGGTTGAAGCAAACTGAGATCACGCCACTGCACTCCAGCCAGGGTGACAGAGTGAGACTCTTGTCTCAAAAAAAAAAAAAAAAAAGTCAGCCAGGTATGGTGGCTCACACCTGTAATCCCAGCACTTTGGGAGGCCGAGTCGGGTGGATCACGAGGTCAGGAGATCAAGACCATACTGGCCAACATGGTGAAACCTCCATCTCTATTAAAAACACAAAAATTAGCCAGGTGTGGTGGCATGTGCCTGTAGTCCCAGCTACTTAGGAGGCTGAGGCAGGAAAATCACTTAAACCCAAGAGGTGGAGGCTGCAGTAAGCTGAGATCATGCCACTGCCCTCCAGCCTGGGAACAGAGCGAGACTCTATCTCCAAAAAAAAAAAAAAAAAAAAGGCCTTGGTCAGGCGCAGTGGCTCACGCCTGTAATTCCAGCACTTTGGGAGGCCGAGGTGGGTGGATCACCTGAGATCAGGAGTTCAAGACCAGCCTGGCCATCATGGTGAAACTGCATCTTGAAAAAAAAAATTAAAAAGCCTTAAGTAATTGTAATTACAACCCCAACTCACTGACGATGAGATTGGTGAAGTTTTAACCATCCAGTGTGAATTAATCATAAAATGAGATTTGGTTTGAGACTATCCTGAGAATTCCACTGTGCTTTGCTGCCTTATCCTGGCTCACAACAAAGCACTGACATTTTGTGGTTAAAAGGTCGGGAAGGAGAAAATGCCACCTTTTACGCTGCTCCAGCTCCCAGTCCAGGCGTGCCAGTGTTTGCTGGTGAGGGTCTCCCATGGTGACTTCAGCCTTGCTGATATCTGGTGGAGCCTCCTTATAAAACTCCTCTAAACTGACCAGATCAATTTCTTCATGCTTTGACCTATAGACAAAAACACGACATCAAGCTACTGTTCTCAGGAAACCAAACTATAGTTTAAGCAGGCCCAAAATTTCCCCCCACATATGTTGCTTAGCCCTGGTCTACAACTACTTAGGATCTTGGAATCCAGACTTCTCCACAAATGCTCACTAGTAGATGTTTCAGTGTGAAGAAAGGTAGCTGGTGACATGCCATAGGATCCTTATCCATGTTGTTCAACCTTTTTACCCATAAATTAGCTAAAGACCCAGAAGGGATTCTTATCAAATTTACAAATGTCTCCAAGCTAAGCAGGAAAGCTAACAGCTAAAAAGTCAAAGAAAAACATTACAGTCTGGCTCTAGCCTGTCAGCTTGAAATCAAGACATGTCTTTTAGCAGGAATAAATATAAAGGTCTGCATTTAAGTTCAAAACATAAGCAGAATGGGGAAGACTCAGCATGGGGGAAATGGATGGAAAAAGATCTAGAGGCTTAAATTGTTGCATGCATAGTGCTTTATATGCATACATGGAAAGAAAGACTGCCGGGCATGGTGGCTCATGCCTATAATCCCAGCTCTTGGGGAGGCCAAGGCGGCTGGATCACCTGAGGTCAGGAGTTCAAGCCCAGCCTGACCAACATGGTGAAACCCCATCTCTACTAAAAATATAAAAATTAGCCGGTCGGGCCGGGCGCGGTGGCTCAACCCTGTAATCCCAGCACTTTGGGAGGCCAAGGCGGGTGGATCACGAGGTCAAGAGATCGAGACCATCCTGGTCAACATGGTGAAACCCTGTCTCTACTAAAAATAAAAATTAGCTGCGCATGGTGGCACGTGCCTGTAATCCCAGCTACTCAGGAGGCTGAGGCAGGAGAATTGTCTGAACCCAGGAGGCAGAGGTTGCGGTGAGCCGAGATCGCGCCACTGCACTCCAGCCTGTGTAACAAGAGCAAAACTCTGTCTCAAAACAAAACAAAACAAAACAAAACAAAACAAAATTAGCCAGGCATGGTAGTGCATGCCTGTAATTCCAGCTAGTTGGGAGGTGGAGGCAGGAGAATCATTTGAACCCAGGAGGCAGAGGTTGCAGTAAGCCAAGACTGCAACCAGCTTGGGCAATAGGGTGAGACTGTCTCAAAAAAAAAAAAAGAAAAAGAAAAAAAAAAATCCAACGCTCTTTGCTGCATTAACATAGTTGAGTGCTAGGTCATGGTCAGATGATGGTAATAATAGCAGCAGCTATCATTTATTAACAAGCACCCACTATATGTCATCCTTACCTCATTTAAGCCTCACAACAACTCTAAGAGGTGGGGAGTTTTAATCTCCATTTTCCACTGAGATGGAGGCTTCTATCAGTAAGCAGCTTGCCCATGGTCCATAGCTAGTGAGTGGCCAAGCTGGGATTTGAACCCGGGCTGTTTAACTCCAAGGTCTATGCTCCTTCCATGTGGCTGCCTGCCTCCCCACAGGCGCAAGTTCCACTCTATTTTGGGTTTGTCAGTTTCTACTTGTGCAATGATTACAGATCAGTGCATCACATTCTTTTGTTTTTGATATCTTTTTAATTTTGAAATAGTTTAAGACTCCAAGAAATTTCAAAAATACTGAGAATTTATTTCCTCCATGTAACCTTCACCCAAGTTCCCCAAATGATAATGTCTTATCTAACCACAATGTACACTCTAAAAACCAGGAATTGACAATGGTAGATATTATTAACTCAAGTATAGACCTGATGCAGATTTTGCTTGTTTTTATTTATTATTATGTGAAGATTTTGTGGAGCAGATAAAAAAGATGCCTCTCAAAAATCAGCATTAGGGCTGGGCACAGTAGCTCATGCCTGTAGTCCCAGCACTTTGGGAGGCCAACAAGGCAAGTGGATCATCTGAGGTCAGGAGTTTGATACCAGCCTGGCCAACATGGTAAAACCCTGTCTTTACTAAAAATACAAAAATTAGCCAGACATGGTGGTTCACGCCTGTAATTTCAGCTACTCAGGAAGAGGTAGGAGAATTGTTTGAACCTGAGAGGTGGAGGTTGCAATGAGCCAAGATCACCCCACCGCACTCCAGCCTGGGCAGAGCCAATCAGACTGTCTTCCGAAAGAAAAAAAAAAAAAAATCAGCATCAGGCCAGGGGTGGTGGCTCACTCACACCTGTAATCTCAGCACTTTGGGAGGCTGAGGCAGGTGGATTATTTGCACCCAGGAGTTTGAGACTGGCCCAACATGGCAAAACCCCATCACTACTAGAAATACAAAAAATTAGCCAGAGGCCAGGCACAGTAGCTCACACCTATAATCCTAGTATTTTGGGAGGCCAAGGTGGGTAGATCACAAAGTCAGGAGTTCAAGACGAGCTTGGCCAAGATGGTGAAACCTGTCTCTACTAAAAATTCAAAAATTAGCCAGGCGTGGTGGTGGGCACCTGTAATCCCAGCTACTCAGGAGGCTGAGGCAGGAGAATTCGCTTGAACCTGGGAGGAGGAGGTTGCGGTGAGCTCAGATTGCGCCACTGTACTCCAGCCTGGTTGATAAGAGCGAGACTCACTCTCAAAAAAAAAAGGAAAAAAAAAGAAGTAAAGAAATACCTGAGACTGAGTAATTTATAAAGGAAAATCACTTGCATGTGGGAGGCGGAGGTTGCAGTGAGCCGAGACCACCCCACTACACTCCAGCTTGGGCGACAGAGTGAGACTGCATCTCAAAAAAAAAAAAAAAAAAAAAAAAAAAAATTAGCCAGGTGTGGGTGGTAGTGAATACCAGTTGTCCAGCTACTCAGAAGGCTGAAGTGGGAGGATCATCTGAGCCCAGGAAGGCAAGGCTGTAGTGAGCCAGGATTGTGCCACTGCACCAGCCTGGGTAACAGGAGTGAGACCCTGCTTTTTGTTTTTGTTTTTTTAATTTTTATTTAAAGATGGGGTTTCACCATGATGGCCAGGCTGGTCTTGAACTCCTGACCTCAGGTGATCCACCCACCTCGGCCTCCCAAAGTACTAGGATTACAGGCGTGAGCCACTGCACCCAGCCAAGACCCTGTTTAAAAAAAATCAGCATCATGATTATTAAAAATATTCTGGACCCAATGTCTAATGGGCCCCCTACACATGTCAAGTTTGTTACAGATAAAAGCTGCTTTCAGTTTGCATAAACAGGTCTGATCACATGAGAACACTGTCCCTTCTCTTCCCGTTTACGCCTTCCTCCTCCTCATCTCTCAGTTTGGTTTTGAAGGATACCGACAAACTGTAGTTTCTTCACCCAAAGGCAGCTAAGCAGCAAGAAATTCGGGGTCCAAAGAATAAAATCCATTTGCCATTTGCAGAAATGAATTGCTGGGACCTCAGAAAGGAAAACTGGGCCAAAAGGTCAAAAGGATGTGATTGGAAGTGAGCTGCTCCCATACAATGTGTCCAGGAATCAAACTGGTAAAGACTCCTGATAGGGAGAGGGACCTGCTTCTTATCAAGTGGCGAGCTCAAAACTCAAAAGGATCAGAGAGGCTTCTGAAGTTCTTTATGCAGCCTGAAACCACTGCTTGCAATTCTCCCACATTCACCCTTGAATTTGCCCTTTTCCCAGGTCCTACAGTTTTCCAAGTTCATCAGATTTATTTTTAAAGACAGACTTAGGCTGGGCACGGTGGCTCATGCCTATAATCCCAGCTCTTTGGGAGGCTAAGGCAGGAGGATCACCTGAGGTCAGAAGTTTGAGACCAGCCTGGCTAACACGGCGAAACCCCATTGCTACTAAAAACACAAAAATTAGCCGGGCGTGGTGGCAGGCGCCTGTAATCCCAGCTACTCGGGAGGCTGTGGCAGGAGTATCACTTGAACCTGGGAGGCAGTGGTTGCAGTGAGCTGAGACTGTGCCACTGCACTCCAGACTGTGTGACAGAGTAAAGACTCTGTCTAAAAAAAAAAAAAAAAAGAGAGATAGACTTACAGTGAGCTATATGGGAAAAAGCAGTTACCAAGAGACCACATGTACCAAAGCCCTGTCCTCCCAAACTCACTTAAACTCCAAACATTTGGTGATCTCCTTCTGTAGGTGCATCACCTCATACAACAGGTTCTGGAGCTGCAGGTGATAGGCATCTACTTTCTGCTTAGCCTGAAAGGAAAATAAGATCACAGGTGAGCAGGGCAAGTCAGGATGGGGCAGAGGAGTGGGTCAGCAAACTAAGAGAAGGTGTAAAGGGGATAAAGAATGGGACGGGGCCAGGTGTGGTGGCTCACCCCTGTAATCCCAGCACTTTGGGAAGCCAAGGTGGGCAGATCACCTGAGCTCAGGAGTTTGAGACCAGCCTGGCCAACATGGTGAAACCCTGTCTCTACTTAAAAATACAAAAACTGGGCTGGGCGCGGTGGCTCAAGCCTGTAATCCCAGCACTTTGGGAGGCCGAGGTGGGTGGATCACGAGGTCAAGAGATCGAGACCATCCTGGTCAACATGGTGAAACCCCGTCTCTACCAAAAATACAAAAAAAAAATTAGCTGGGCATGGTGGCGCATGCCTGTAATCCCAGCTACTCAGGAGGCTGAGGCAGGAGAATTGCCTGAACCCAGGAGGCGGAGGTTGCGGTGAGCTGAGATCGCGCCATTGCACTCCAGCCTGGGTAACAAGAGCGAAACTCCGTCTCAAAAAAAAAAAAAAAAAAAACTGGCCGGGTATGGTGGTTCACACCTCTAATTCCAGCACTTTGAGATGCTGAGGCAGGTGGATCACCTGAAGTGGGGAGTTTGAGACCAGCCTGACCAACATGGAGAAACTCTGTCTCTACCAAAAAAATACAAAATTAGCTGGATGTGGTTGGCACATGCCTGTAATCCCAGCTACTTGGGAGGCTGAGGCAGGAGAATTGCTTGAACCCAGGTGGCAGAGGTTGTGGTAAGCCAAGATTGGCCATTGCACACCAGCCTGGGCAACAAGAGTGAAACTCCGTCTCAAAAAAAAAAAATTAGCCAGGCATGGTGGTGGCAGGCGCCTTTAATCCCAACTACTCAGGAGGATGAGGCAGGAGAATCGCTTGAACCCAGGAGGCGAGCAGAGATCATGCCACTGCACTCCAGCCTGGGTGACAGAATGAGACTCTGTCTCAAAAAAAAAAAAAAAAAAAGCGAGGTCGGGGGGCGGGTGGGGAGGAGAGAAAAGGAAGGTTAATTCAACCTTTTAACTCCTACCTCATGGGTCTGATCTCTTCCTTTCTTCAACCTGATGTGGGCTAATCGGTTAAGCTTTTTCAAAGTCATGAAATGCACACAGCTCTGGATCCTCCGTTCTTCGATTTCAATTGCCTGTGGGTAAAGAAAAGAGTAAAGCCCACTGACACCAGGGGCTGGGTCAGCTTCCTTCAGTCCGCTGCCACTGACCCATCCTCATCTGGAGCCAAAACAGGCACCAGAATGAGCTCAGAACCATGAGAAAAGTCAGGAGGAAAACAGAGAGATGACTGTATAAGGAAAATGCTTAAGAATCTTGGGCAAAAAAAAGCAATTACTCCTTGGACTAGAGTAACAGGAATTGAAGATGGAGTAAGGGCAGTCAACACACAATCTGTCTCTACAGACCCTACACAGAGATCCCAGCAATAGTAACATCTTGCCAGGGCCGGGCGCGGTGGCTCAAGCCTGTAATCCCAGCACTTTGGGAGGCCGAGGCGGGTGGATCACGAGGTCAAGAGATCGAGACCATCATGGTCAACATGGTGAACCCCGTCTCTACTAAATATACAAATAAATTAGCTGGGCATGGTGGCAAGTGCCTGTAATCCCAGCTACTCAGGAGGCTGAGGCAGGAGAATTGCCTGAACCCAGGAGGCGGAGGTTGGGGTGAACCGAGATCGTGCCATTGCACTCCAGCCTGGGTAACAAGGGCGAAACTCCGTCTCAAAGAAAAAAAAAAAACCATCTTGCCATAAAATTTGACCCCTATAAATAACATTACAGGATAATTTAAATGGAAAATAACAGAACTATAGCCATAAAGTTTGGCTACAACAGACTGAATGCAATAATCATAACAAAACTTGCTGGCATAAGCAAATATGTGAGATTCCTGGAAAAAAAAGATTTAAAAAAACTTACCGAGTTTTTAGTCACATTAATTTCTCTGCCTCTAAAAACTCATTTATTCATTTAATATTAATAATTTCATTTTTGGTCTCTACAATTTACTGGTACATATCAATCTTTGTATCAAGGAAATTTATAAGTACCACCATTTCTCAACACCTAGCAAAACGCCTGGCACTTAATAAACATTAATTGGATGAATGATCAAATTAGGGAAAAAACTAATTATCCTGTACTTTCATTACTGCAATTAGTGACTGAGTGGTGATGAGAAGTTCCAATAAATTAATAGGTTTTGGGAGCCCTGAGGCTCCTACCACCTGATCCTGGCTAGGAGAGAAGACCAAGATCAGGAAGGGCTCTGGTAGGTACAAGAAGAGCCTCATCTAAGCAGACCCACCAGGTTCATGGCCACCTGGTCCCATTCCTTACCACATCCTTGCCACCCCTGCTCTTCAGGTCTTGGATCTCAGCCATCAGCCTCTGTAGCTCCTGGCAGGTGTACTTGTATAACTCATAGTCTCTGCCAGGGTCCCGCAGATCCACCTCGGCCTCCTCACTGTAGTATTTACCTTCCTGTAGAGGCAAGGATAAAGGCTCTGTGTGCATGTGATAAAAGTCATCCTGTTGAGATCAGGGACAGTTGGCTGACATCTCGTTAGATTAAAACAGTAACAATGAAGCCCCATTCAGGTCTCTAAAAGATTTGGTCCTTAAATCAAATATTTTTCTCCTCTTCAAAATAGAAACCTTTTGCTCTTTGATTGCAGAGTAATGCATGCCTGGTGTCAAAGACTCAGAATACACAGAGGAGTATCAAAAAGAAAATGGAAAAATTGCCTATAATTTCACCTCTCAGCCCGAAACACCACCACTGTGAAGACTGTGGGTAAATAAACATTTTATTTGTAAACAAAATGAGCTCATATCATCCACGTTGTTAAGTGCAACTTCTCATCTGTATTAGTCCATTTTTTGTGCCGCTGACAAAGACACACCTGAAACTGGAAAAAGAGGTTTAATTGGACTTAACAGTTCCACATGGCTGGGAAGGCCTCAGAATCATGGCAGGAGGCGAAAGCCCCTTTTCTTTTTTTGGAGACAGAGTCTCACTCTGTCACCCAAGCTGGAGTGCAATGGCGCAATCTCAGCTCACTGCAACCTCCAGAAAGGCACTTCTTACATGGCAGCAGCAAAAGAAACATGAGAAGGGTACAGTCTCCCTCCTGGCTGCTTTCACAGGCTGGTGTTGAGTGTCTGCGGCTTTTCCAGGTACATGGTGTAAACCATTGGTGGATCTACTATTCTGGGGTGTGGAGGACAATGGCTCTCTTTTCACAGCTCCACTAGGCAGTGCCTCAGTAGGGAGTCTGTGTGGGGGCTCCAATCCCACATTTCCCTTCCATACTGCCCTCCATGAGGGCAAAAGTTTGCTGCAGGAGTGAACTTTTCCATACATTCAGGCATTTCCATACATCTTCTGAAATCTAGGCGGGGGTTCCCCAATCTCAATTCTTGACTTCTATGCACCCACAGGTTCAATAGCACATGGAAGCTGCCAAGGCTTGGGGCTTCCACCCTCTGAAGCCACAACCCAAGCTCTACATTGGCCCTTTTCAGCCGTGCCTCATAGTGACTGGGACACAGGGCATCAAGTCCCTAGGCTGCACACAGCACAGGGAGCCTGAGTCCAGCCCACAAAACTACTTTTTCCTCCTGAGTCTCCGAGCCTATGATGGGAGGGGCTACTGTGAAGGTCTCTAACATGGCCTGGAGACATTTTCCCCATGGTTTTGGGGATTAACATTAGGCTCCCTGGTACTGATCCAAATTTCTGCAGCCAACCTGAACTTCTCAAAAAAAAAATGGTTTTTCTTTTTCTTTTCTTTTTTTTTTTTTTTGGAAGTGGAGGCTCACTCTTGTTGCCCAGGCTGGAGTGCAGTGGTGTGATCTCAGCTCACTGCAATTTCCACTCCAAGGTTCAAGCAATTCTCCTGCCTCAGGTTCCTAGGTAGCTGGGAATTACAGGCACCTGAAACTAGGCCCAACTAATTTCAGTATTTTTAATACAGATGGGGTTTCACCATGTTGGCCAGGCTGGTGTCGAACTCCTGACCTTAGGTGATCTAATAGCCTCAGCCTCCCAAGTTCTGGGATTACAGGCACGAGCCACCATGGCCAGCTGGGATTTTCTTTTCTAATGCATAATCAGGCTGCAAATTTTCCAAACTTTTATGCTCTGTTTTCCTTTTAAAATGAAATGTTTTTTTTTTTTTTTTTTTTTTCTCCCCTGAGACAGAGTCTCACTCTGTCCCTCAGATGGAGTTCAGTGGCACAGTCTCAGCTCACTGCAACCTCCAACTCTGGGTTCAAGCGATTCTCCCTGCCTGAGCCTCCCAAGTAGCTGGGATTACAGGTGTCTGCCACCACGCCCAGCTAACTTTTTGTAATTTTAGTAAAGATAGGGTGCCATGTTGGCCAGGTCTCGAATTCCTGACCTCAGGCAATCTGTCCACCTCGTGTTGGGATTACAGGCGTGAGCCACCACCCTGGCCAAAAAAAAAAATTTTTTTTTTAAATAGCTAAGTCATAAACGCAGTTGACAGATTCAAGGATAGAGAAACAAAGAAAAGGAAGAAAAGAACCTGCCAACTACATGAGCTGTCAGGCCACAAAAGGTTGTGTGGGCCCATGGTTCTGGTACTGTCTCAGCACCACACTCAGGGATTCAACATATCTGAAGCTCCAGTGCCATGCTACAGATGGACTGCCTTCTTCTGACCATCAGGAAAGCTGGAGACACATATCATACTGGAATACATTTTCTGTGCAGATACTAACCATGTCTAATACAGGCTTGGTTTTGGAGATGCTGCAGTTAAACCAGATGTGGACACTCAGGTTTTGTGGAGAAATGGGAACCCCAGTCACCTGATCAAGTGGAAGCCACCAAAAAGTTGCCCCTGGTAGATGTAACCCCGAGCTGCTGCAAACCCACAGCCAAGTGCTTGGCCACGAGATGTAATTTCTCAGCAGCAGGGCAGCCCTGACTGATCTCACCTGCTCAGTGTCAGATCGATTCCGCTTTCCTTCAGCTGGGGCTCCATCGCTTCGGATCACTTTGGGCTTCCGTTTTTTGCTTGATTCTGATGACATGGTTGTTCCTTGATGTCAAGAGGAAACAGCAGAGACCTGTTAGAAAGAGAAAGTTTTTAAGATTCTTCTGGAGTGGCCAGGCGCGGTGGCTCACGCTCGTCATCCCAGCACTTTAGGAGGCTGAGGCAGGTGGATTACGAGGTCAAGAGATTGAGACCATCCTGGTCAACATGGTGAAACCCGGTCTCTACTAAAAATACAAAAATTAGCTGGGCATGGTGGCGCACACCTGTAGTCCCAGCTACTAGGGAGGCTGAGGCAGGAGAATTGGTTGAACCCAGGAGGCGGAGGTTGCGGTGAGCCGAGATCATGCCATAGCACTCCAGCCTGGGTAACAAGAGCAAAACTCCGTCTCAAAAAAAAAAAAAAAAAAAAAAAGTCAGAGAACCCTGAACTAGAATCTCCATTCTACTCTTTTATGGCTATGAGTCCCGGGACAAGTCACTTCACTTTTCTCTGGGTCTCATTCCTCACAAATCAAATGAGAATAACAGTCCCTACCACAGGGGTTGTTGTGGGCTTTAACACAGGAGGCATTCCACTGGGGAAGGTGATGAAGATGACCTGGGATTGTGGCTTCAGATGATACATAGGTCATCTTAAATAATGCTGAACACCTAAGGAGAAAGTTAATCCCTTTTCAGTTTTTTTGAAACTTCTGCTTGCTTCAAGGAGAATATCTCAGTTCCCTAATTTGACTTTAACATCTATGAACAGGCCAGGTGTGGTGGCTCACACCTGTAATCCCCAGCATTTAGGGAGGCCAAAGCAGGTGGATCACTTGAGGTCAGGAATTTGAGACCAGCCTGACCAATAAGGAGAAACCCCAACTCTACTAAAAATACAAAATTAGCTGGGAGTGGTAGCAGGTGCCTGCAATCCCAGGTACTTGGGAGGCTGAAGCAGGAAAATCCTTTGAACCCAGGATGCAGAGGTTGCAGTGACCTGAGATCGCGCCATTGCACTCCAGCCTGGCAACAAGAGCAAGACTACGTCTAACCAAACAAAACAGGCTGGCCATGGTGGCTCACACCTGTAATCCTAGCACTTTGGGAGGCTGAGGCAGGTGGATCATGAGGTCAGGAGTTCAAGACTAGCCTGGTCAAAAGATGGTGAAACCCTGTCTGGATTAAAAACACAAAAATTAGACGGGCATGGTGGCAGGTGCCTGCAATCCCAGCTACTTGGGAGGCTTAGGCAGAGAATAGCTTGAACCTGGGAATTGCCTGAACCTGGGAGGCAGGGGTGGCAGTGAGCCACTGCAACTGGAGCCACTGCACTCAAGCCTGGGCAACAGAACTAGACTCTGTCTCAAAAAAAGGAGGTTGCAATGAGCCCAGATCACAACACTTCTCTCCAGCCGGGCTGACAAAGCGAAATTCAGTCTCAACAACAACAACAAAAAGTGACTGGGGCCCAGCACATAACTCACACCTGTAATCCCAACACTTTGGGAAACCAAGGCAAGCAGAGGCAGAGGTAAGAGAATCACTTGAGCCCGGGAGTTCAAGACCAGCCTGGGCAACAGAGTGAGACCCTATCTTTACAAAAAACTTAAAAATTAGCCTAGTGTGGTGGCGCACACCGGTGGTCCCAAGCTACTCTGGACGCTGTGGTGAGAGGATGGCTTGAGCCCACAAGTTCCAGGTTGCAGCGAGCTATGATGGCGCCACTACACTTAGTCTTGGCAACAGAGACCCCGTTTCAAACAACCCTTAGGGGCCGGGCGCGGTGGTTCACTCCTGTAATCCCACCAGTTTGGGAAGCCGAAGCAGGCGGATCACCTGAGGTCGGGAGTTCAAGACCAGCCTGACCAACACGGTGAAGTCCCGTCTCTACTAAAAATACAAAATTAGCCGGGCGTGGTGGCAGGTGCCTGCAGTCCCAGCTACTCGGGAGGCTGAGGCAGGAGAATCGCTTGAACCCGGGAGGCGGAGGTTGCGGTGAGCCGAGATCGCGCCATTGCACTCCAGCCGGGGCAACAAGAGAGAAAAACTCCTTCTCAAAAATACATAAATAAATAAATAAATTGGTCTGGATTAAAAATTTTTCGGAAAAGGTAGTACGGGTGTTAAGTCACACACAGACAGGACCTGAAAGGCTTAAGTGTGGGAAATTCTGACTTTCGCTAGACAGCAGAATGCCTGGCACACAGAAGAGCACAGTATGTATGACTTGTTACCATCACCACCACCACTACCCGCATCAGGCTACATTATCACCACCAACAACAAAAAGAGGCTCGAACTTGAGGCCTGGAGATGCTGCAGCGAACATTTTTCGGAAGAGGTAACAGCGCAGCGCCCAGCGGCCGGGGACCGAGTAGTGAGGGAGGAGAAGCTGGCTCAGACCTCAACCCCGGGGGGCCCAGCAGCACCTCAGTCCCGCAGCGCCCGGCCCCGCCCCACCGCCCAGCCCCGCTGCTCGAGTCCGCTACTCACCTCACAGCTCCGCGAACCTGGGACTGGGAACAAGCAGCTTCCGGAGGCGGAGCAAAGGCGGCCCGCGCACCATAGAGAAGCGGAAGTAAGGAAGGGGCGGCCGACCGGAAGCGAGGCGTGGAGGCCGGAAGTGGAGCATGGAGGCCCACGAGTGAGGTAGGGGCCTCGTGAGGCTTGCAGCTGGGTGACGGGCGAGCTAGTAGGCGACGGGTGCCACTGGGCCAACCACCCCATACTGCCTTCTAAAATTGGGAAACTGAGGCTGTAAAGACAAAGACACTTGCCTCGTTCACTGTCCCCAGGGCCTAAGGCCGTGCCCAGCAACTAGTGGGCGCTCCACCAAGTAGTTGAATGAATGTTATGTCCAACATAACACGAAAGAACCTGGTAGCGGGCGGGAAGATTTGGGCCCTAGAGGATTTGTTTCCATAACCTCGATTCTTCCTTGCTTCCTAGTTACTATTTTGACCGCCATATGCCACATTAGTGAAGGCAACAAGTCAGGAAGAGCATTAACTTCATTTTACACTTGGGTTTTTTGAGGAGTATGTCACTAGTCTCTCCCATTTTATGCCCGACTTGCCCAGGACAGAGAGTCACGACTCTAATGCAGTATTTGAAAGCTTCAAGTATTTTCTACCCCCGGTATGAACTTTATATAGAGTCCAGGATTTTTTCCTGTAAATCCTACTTATCTGGAGCTATTACCACGTGGCCCAAATCCCTGGTTGTACAGGGCCAGTTCTGTCTCCTTCCCTGAAGCAAGGAGGAAAATACTTTTTTTTTTTTGAGGGGGGCCGGCGGGGGAGGGAACAGAGTTTCGCTCTGTGGCCCAGGCTGAAATGCAGTGGGGTGATCTTGGCTTAATGCAACCTCGGACTCCAGGGTTTAAATGATTATCCTGCCTCAGACTTCCAAGTAGCTGGGATTACAGGCGTGCACCACCATGCCCAGCTAATTTTTGTATTTTTAGTAGAGACGGGGTTTCACCATGTTGCCCAGGCCTGACCTCAAGTGATTTGCCTGCCTGGGGCTTCCAAAGTGCTGGGATTACAGGCCTGAGCCACCATGCCCAGCCACTACTGATTCTTGAGAATAGCTCAAGAACATAATACCCTCTAGGAGGGTAGATCTGCCATGTGGGGCTAAGCCCACCAGCTCTATCTACTGTGCCCTGCCTTAGGCACCTGCTAAAGTTCCTTGCAGTTGAAGAAAGGACACTGTGGTTTATAGTAAATATTTAATTGGTTCCATCAGCAACTCCAGCACAAGTTTTCCTGGATGGGAAGCAGAATCAAGCTACCCAAGGGTTCATGATGAGGTATGGGGGTCCACTGAGGAGACCCCCAGAGTCACTGACCCCCCTCCACACACCAGGTGGCCCTGCAGAATGAAGGTTGGGCTGACAGAATGTGAAGTAGGGGAGAGGTAAGATTGGGTGAGGAAACGGGCCCTGGCCTGTACGTTTGCCTGCAGGAAGGAGGGAGGGCAGGAGAGACTTTCTGCACAGAAAGAGTGGAACTACACTTTTTAAGTTCTCAACCCCAATATGTAAGGGAAAACAGCCAAGCCACTCTCCATCTAGTATTAGGAACTTCTCTTCAAGTGGTCTTCTGTCATCTCTGTTCTATCTTCCCAATTCTCTATTCCAGATTCCAAATTCTGCAGTTGAAGCCCAAGTTCTGAATTCTAAGTTCTACCTTCTGAGTTCCTCTTATGTGTCTGTCTCCTGCCCCTAAATTCTTCCTGGCTCCCATCCCTTTCTCCAGCCTGTCTGGGCGGAATGTCTGCACCTCCTTCTGACTGGGCTGATGAGGTGTTTTTTGTTGTTGTTGGGTTTTTTTTTTTTGGCAGTTCCAGGCTTTTCTCCAGCAGGAGGGACTTGGCTCAGACTGTCCAGCAAGTGGGTGGCCCAGTGGAGACCAGGGAATTCCTGAGGGCCTGGCCTGGCCTCCTCTCTTCCCACCCCACCTGTAGCCACTGGACATGCTACCTTTTGTGCAAGCTAAATGGAAGATAACCATGGGTGATCACTGGGGACTAGTAGCCTTGAGATGAGGAATCTTAGAAGAATATATAAGGCCTAAAAGATTGCTATCCTTCATTCAGGGAAATTAGAAACTACTTCTAGCAGGGGGAAGGAGGCAAGCAGGGAAGGTGGAAAGTGCCTGGGCAGAGCTGTAAATCCTCAGAACTTGTCATCCTTCAGTTCCCCCTTGTCTGAGCTGAGCACTGCCCCTCAGAGTCCTCCCAGAGCCAAGACAAAACCAACACAGCAGAACCAGGAGCGCCACTGTCTGTTGGGGTTGCCCTGAGGGAGAAGGGGAAGGAGGTGGAGGTGTAGGCAGCATCACTGGAGAGGTGAAATCTTCAAGGGGATCATGATCCGAGACTCCATGTGTCGCACCAGGGGGACTGCAGAGAGAGAAAGGCAGAGGTCACACAGGGGCCTCAAGCAGGCCAACAACCTCCCCTGGCCCCACCCACACATGTTGGCCTTTGAGTGGGGAGGAGGAGGACCCAGATGCTGTGAAAGGAATGTCCCATTGTCCTCCTAAAAGGGCCCATGAAGACCACCAGATCCCTCAAATTATAGGATAAGATAGGACTTCAGTGGTAATAGGAATAACATTTTCTTAAATTTTAATAATTATGTGTTTATTTTCCTTGTGTTTGAAAATAATAATTAGCAGAGTGAAAAGTGATTTCATAGATATTATTGTTGAGGACAAAGCTAGGTTCAAAACAAAGTAGGGAGATTTAAAGAAAAATAGCAGCCGGGCGTGGTGGCTCACACCTGTAATCCCAGCACTTTGGGAGACTGAGGAGGGCAGATCACCTGAAGTCAGGAGTTCGAGACCAGCCTAACATGGAGAAACCATGTTCTCTACTAAAAATACAAAATTAGCTGGGCATGGTGGCATGTGCCTGTAATCCCAGCTACCTGGGAGGCTGAGGCAGGAGTATTGCTTTAACCCAGGAGGCAGAAGTTGCGGTGAGCCGAGATTGAGCCATTGCACTCCAGCCTGGGCAACAAGAGCAAAACTACGTCTCAAAAAACAAAGAGACCAGATGCAGTGGCACACACCTGTAATCTCAGCACTTTGGGAAGCCAAGGCTGACAGATCACCTGAGGTCAGGAGTTCGAGACCAGCCTGGCCAAAGTGGTGAAACCCCATCTCTAAAAAAAAAGAAAAGAAAACAAAGCAAGAAAATAATTATAATGATAGTATACTGCTAGGACAAAAGCTGTGAGCAGGGTCCTCAAGAGGCTGAGGCTTGAAAAACACTGATTTAATCCAACTGCCTCATTTTCCAGATGGGGAGGCTGCAGCCTAGAAAGGGTCAGCTCAAAGTCATCCAGGAGGTTAGACTCTTTCCTCTTGCTCAGAGCTTTTCAAACTTTGATGTGCATACAAATCACTTGGCAGTTCTGTTAATGTGCAGATTCTGATTCAGTAGGTTGCAGGAAGCTTGAGATTTATCATTCTTTTTTTTTTTTTTTGAGACCAAGTTTCACTCTGGTTGCCCAGGCTGGAGTGTAATGACATGATCTCGGCTCATTGCAACCTCTGCCTCCCAGGTTCAAGTGATTCTCCTACCTCAGCCTCCGAAGTAGCTGGGATTACAGGCATGCACCACCACACCGGCTAATTTTGTATTTTTAGTAGAGATGGAGTTTCTCCATGTTGGTTGGCTGGTCTCGAACTCCTGACCTCAGGTAGTATGTCCATCTCAGCTACCCAAAGTGCTGGGATTACAGGTGTGGGCCCCTGAGCCTGATGGAGATTTATCTTGTTTAACAAGCTCCCAGGGGATGCTAATACTGCCTGTTGGGACCATACTTGATTTTGTTTTGTATTTTATTTATTTATTTTTGAGACAGGGTCTCACTCTGTCTCCCAGGCAGGAGTGCAGTGGCAAGATCTTGGCTCACTGCAAACTCCACCTCCTGGGTTCAGTGATTCTTGTGTCTCAGCCTCCCGATTAGCTGGGATTACAGGTTCGTGTTACCATGCCTGGCTAATTTTTGTATTTTTAGTAGAGACAGGGTTTCACCCTATTGCCCAGACTCGCCTCAAACTCCTGGACTCAACTGATCCATGCATCTTGACCTCATATAGTGCTGGGATTACAGGTGTAAGCCACTGTGCTTGGCCTGTTTTTTATTTTTATTTTTATTTTTTTTGAGACAGGTCTCACTGTTGCCCAGGCTGGAGTACAATGGCACAATCATGGCTCACTGTAGCCTCAAACTCCTGGGCTCAAGCAATCTTCCCACCTCAGCCTTCCAAGTAGCTGAGACTACAGATGGACACCACCACACCCCGCCAATTTTTTTTTTCTGAGATGGAGTCTCAGTCTGTTGCTCAGGCTGTAGTGCAGTGGTGTGATCTCGGCTCATTGCAACCTCCGCCTCCTTGGTTCGAGTGATTCTTCTGCTTCAGTCTCCCGAGTAGCAGGGACTACAGGCACCCGCCATCACGCCCAGCTAATTTTTTGTATTTTAGTAGAGACAGGGTTTCACCATGTTGGCCAGGATTGTCTTGATCTCCTGACCTTGTGATCCTCCCGCTTGTCCTCCCAAAGCACTGGGATTACAGGTGTGGGCCACTGCACCTGGCCTAATTTAAAAGAAATTTTTGTGTAGAGATGGGGGGGTCTCCTTATGTTGTTCAGGCTGGTCTTAAACTACTGGCCTCAAGTGATCCTCTTGCCTCGGCCTGCCAAAGTGCTGGGATTACAGTTGTGAGCCACTACACCGGCTGGGACCACACTGAATAGCAAGGCTCCTGCTAACTCCTTCAGCAGACACATTCTCCCTCATACCACTTGGTAAGTGATCCCTGTAAGCTTCTCAGTGGCCAGGACAGGCTCTTGTTCATTTATGTGCTCCTCAACCAACTACCCACCACAATTTCCAGCACACAGTGAGGGCTCAATTAATACCCACTGACTCTAGGTGGTTTCAGGGTTCCTAGCAAAGTGGCAAACACCTTGAGCAAAGAACTTGTTCAAAGCTGGGCACAGTGGCTCATGCCTATAATCCCAGCACT